CTTAAAACATTGAACTTCTAAGCAACAACTGATAAACAAATCGATTTCTGATTGCAGTTCGTCTACTTTTGTGCACTGTTTCCCTATTTCATCATCATCGTGCTCCTCCTCCGTGGCTTGACTCTTCCCGGCGCCGGTACAGGCATCTACTATTATCTAACACCGAATGTGACAAAATTGATGGAAACAACTGGTAGACTTTGACTTTAGACCAAAATAAATCAAATTTCTTATAGTCTGGAAAGATGCAGGCACCCAGGTCTTCTACTCATACGGCGTTGGGTTCGGGACTCTGATCGCACTCGGCTCACACAACAAGTTCAATCACAATTGTTTCAGGTAGAAAAAGTTTTGCGTGTACTTTGTGCTTGCAAACGAGCGATTCTTGGTTTCTCCAGAAACCAGAGAGGAAAATAACATTAGATTCATTTCAGAGACGCAATTGCGATGTGTTTCATCAACGGTGGTACTTCAATTCTGGCTTCGTTCGCCATTTTTGGCATTCTCGGCTTTATGAGTGTCACCTCGGGCAAACCGATTGATCAAATCGTGAAACCCGGTTAGAATAGATACTAGTTCTCATCTGTGACATCCAATTTGAAATTTAAAATGCAATCTCCCAGGTGTCGGCTTGGCTTTTCTCGCGTATCCGGAGGTGGCGACAAATTTGCCAATGAAACAGCTATGGGCTTTCCTCTTTTTCCTCATGATCACCATTCTTGGGTTGGATAGTCAGGTGTTCTAAAGATATTTGTGTATCTAATCGAAATCTTCTGTTTAGGTTTGCATGATGGAGGGTTTATACACGGCGCTTGAAGACGCTTTCCCCACACATTTACGAAAGCATAAACGAGTGAGCATTGAAAAGAAAATCGATTGATTTAGTTTAAAAATTGTTTTAACAAACGAAACAAACTGAAGCATGTCTATTAAAAACTAGTTTATCTTTTGACTAGACTAAGGCTAAGCCTGAGAGCTTATCCGATTCGTTTCCAGGTGGCACTCGGCTTGATGTGTCTTCTCTTTTTCATTCTCGGTATACCGATGGTTTCCTATGTGAGTGTTCAAATAGAAAATAATCTATATCTATATTATATCTATATCTATATCTATATCTATATCTATATTCTATATTCTATATTCTATTTTCTATATCCCAGGCTGGTGCTCATTGGTTGACTCTTGTCGATGCGTACGGTGCTTCCGGATATGCTCTGCTTTTCGTCGTTTTCTTCGAGGTCGTCGGTTTATCATGGGGCTTCGGTGAGTGAAAGGGATGCACTTGGGTAAACTCCCAGTTTCTGTCTTTCAATTGCTATGAGAACTTGAGTGCACTAGACGGGGAGCGTTTGCTCAACCTGGTTGATCCAGTTCCAAGGGCAGACAGTCTAAGCCTTGCTTAGCCTGACAATCCGCTAGATGGCTAAGCCTGGTTAAGCCTGGTAAAGCCTGGTAAAGCCTGGTTAAGCCTGGTTAAACCTGGCTAAGCCCAAAAGCTGATCAATTCATTTCCAGGCGCTGAACGGGTGATGTCGGCGATGAAAGAGATGGTAGGCTTTCGGCCACCGATTGTCTTCAAGTTTCTCTGGAAATACTTGTCTCCATTGACGGCTTTCGTGAGTTTTTTTGTCGTCAATGCAATACCAGTTTTCTGGTTCAGTTTCTTTTCTGGTTCTGCATCTACTACTATGAGCCAGTAAAGGATCCAAATAAACAAGACTATCCCTGGTGGTCGAATGTTTTCGGTGAGTGAACAGTATGAGCTTTAGCTTTGAATGGAAATTTCCTAGGTTTCTTCTTGTCTTCTTGTTCGATGGTGGTCATTCCGGGGTACGCGATCTACTACTTAGCCACTCAAAATCGACATCTCAGCCTAAAAGAGGTGAATAAGCAATTCCATTTCTCTAGATCGCTAATCAATTATCAATTATCAATTCAGCGTTTCCTGAAAGCCATCCGTGTGCCTGACAATATTCACACCGGAGCCACAAGACGAGCCGCTGAGCTTAAAGTTCTACAACACTAGGAAAAGCAAAGCAAAGCAAAAAGCAAAGCAATGTTTTAACCAGTCTAACCAGTCTAACCAGTCTAAAGTGCTTTGTACTCTCGAATAAACTCTCCAGAAAGGGTTTTATTGAAAAGCCAGAGAGTTCACAAAGTATCATAAATCATTTCACTTCGACCAAACTTTGAAAGTTTTTTCATTCGCGAAAAAAACTCACCTAAATGATCCTCACTTCTAATTATCTTTATGTTTCTTCATTCCAGAAAAAAAAACCCCAATATTTTTGTGTTTTCTTTGATTAGTCTTTTTTCAATAACTGAATATTTTTATGTTTTCTCTCATAAAATTCACTTATTCAATCACTTTTCTTTATAAATTTTTGTGCTAAATTCATAAAACTTTCGATTATCAAATAGCAAAAGAACAAAAGAAGATTTTATGGTCATTCATCCAAAGTACAATATAGTTAGCTTACCAAAAAATGCAAAGAAGAAGTGCGGGGAGTCAGAGTCGCCTCACTAGACTATCACTAGACACTAGACTATCGTGTCACCACCCCGAAAAGTAGACATACAAAGCAAAACATTGAAAACTTGTGTGCTTACTTTTACCATAGCCAGTCGATAAGATACGCTTAGAAACGTACCGCAAAAGCTACCGTACCATTAAGTAGTCTAAATTGGCTCTGGAGTCTGATAACGTAGCTCCATTAGCATTAGGAAAATCAAAAAAAAAGTCGAATGGCCGTCACCATGTTGTGCTCTACAACAGAAAAATTAGAAAAACAACAGAAGATTTTTCCGGAATCGCTTTTTTGTTTTAGTGTTAGCTAATTTTTTTTTCTGTTAAAGTTGGTCTATCTAGCAGCTAACAGATAGAATTGCTTGCAAATATTGTGGCAATCAGAGATCGTACTGCGCGCTGTATTACTCAAAAAATGTCGTCACGACAAATCGATGCCATCATCTAAACCACTAAATATTCGAGAACTTCTCAAGGTGTCTAAAAGCGCCTTCAAATACGGTAACTTGTCTTCTTACCGTGTGGAGATTGATTCTGATAAAGGAGAAAAAGTTCAGGTTACGAAACCTTTTTTCCCGGAAAGCCCTTTTCTTTTTAGAGAACACGCGCCTTAAGTTCCGCTCACCTTTTCCACAATCAGCCTTCTCGACTTGCAATTGAAAAAGAATGTTTTCTCAAGAAATGATCGATTTGTGGTCTAAATATTGTTAGCATTTTCGCGGGCTTTTGTCGATTTTTGAGCGAATCGGCTCGCTTTGTAGGCTAATAATTTTTTCCAGAACGAATATTAATTCTCAGCTTTTTATCTCGTTAATTCTCAGCTTTTTATCTCGTTAAATAAGGAAGATTTTAGGCTTTCAAATATGATACTAAATAGAGCTTTATTGGATTTTGTAATTCAAGAAAATCAAGCATCACAATCAAGCACCGCCGAGTTGGATTGACCTCGTTTTGGCAGAGTCCTGGACACAAACACAATCCAATAAAGCGCTTTATTTGTGATTAAACGAAAGCCTGAACTCTCCTCTATGCAACGATAAAGAATTTGAAAAAATAATATTCTCTCTAGCCAGAGTTATGAGCCTTTAAAGTAAGGTATTGATTGAAAATGGGAAAAGGCATGCATTGCATCATTCGGACTCGACTCAACATGTCGATAGTCGATACTCAATAGTCGTCCGACGAGAGAATTTCCTCGAAAACGCCAAACTCTTTCATCGAACCCTAAAAAAACTCCAAATTTACCGTTTTATTTTATCAATCAGGAAGACATATTATAATTATTTTCATTTTTGCTAGCATTTCGAGTAACAACCCAATGATCTCTCCACCCGTCCAACCGAACGCCGATTAAAACTCACAATAAAAGAATGCCCAAAAGCGTGAAAATTAAAAGCTTTTGCGGTTCCTAAATCAATGCGTGATGAAGCATACTTTTTTGGTGCCTTTTTGGTGACTTTTTGAATTGGAAATTTTTATTTGTGGTCTTTCTAGAGTGAAGAATGGAAATTCAGTAGTAGTTTTGTCAAAAAAAAAATTTAAAGCTTTAAATGAGAGCATCTCGAAATATCTAAAAGCGCAATACTGAAATGTAGCTTCAAAAGGTTGTCTTTTAAGGAGCAAAGCTTCTGGGGAAAAATGAGCTAAATGCTCGAATGGGGAAACTGATTTATCTTTGGGTTCCTTTTCACAGTCGGCTTTCTCGTAAAGAATCTTGATTTTCTTGACTTTTCACAGAAAGAGTCTCCTTTTACGAATCAGCTTTTTAAACAAAGCTTGTAAAACTACCGTAATTTTATTGCATATAGTATTTTTATTTTGTAGGTTTTATCGGATGGAACACGTGGAGAGTGTTAGGATCTCCGTAGCAACTACAATAAACCAATAATAAACACTTATAACGTCCTCTACAGCAACCCTATTATTTGGTAGCTACATTTTACCCTCGTGTCGCAATTACAGTAATCCTAGAGTAGTTACTGTAGTACCCTTATCCGGCTTCAGATCAAATTGACCATCTGATTTGCTTAAATACTCGACGAAGATTGATCAACGGAGAATCAATCAATGGACAACAACGATCATTTTTCGCAGAAACCATAGGATCGAGGTGGTTGCGAAGAAGCGGCCACCTATTTGGCGAATATCATTGTTACAGTCGTTTGTTTGTAACATGCTTTGAATGAAATGAATTACAAATCGACGATCTGTGATGACTTTTTGAAGAGGATGGTACGAGCACAAGGTAACGGGTGTAATTGCTCTCAGCAAAAACGGCCACCGATTTTTTGTAAGGCGCTACTCCTTTTCGCTTAATTAAAAACTGTTAGTTATCTGTTGAGATTGCTTAAAAGCATCTAACAAGAGGAAATCAAAAATTCATTCGCCAATACAATAATTTAAACACTAACCATAAAAATGAACATTTATTAATAGCCAACAGTACATGTTTTTTAAAAATCCGACTCGTTCAATTCCTTTTCTGCATCGTGAAGTAGAGCGTTTCCTTGTTGCCGTGTTTCTGTCGGAAGCGTTGAGGATTCAAATTCTGAAAAACAAATTGATGAAATAACACATAATAATAAACATACCTTGAGGATTTTCGCTAAACGAGGCACAATCTCGTTTTTGTCGATATTCCCACACTTTGACTTGAACTTGCTGACTAGATCCTATAAAGAATGTGTAATTGTGATAAATAAAGACAAAAACAAACCTTCGTTGTGTGTGGATTACGTTGAAGATATCGGGTCACCGTTTCCTCATTCAAAATGTCATCAATTGAAGAGGCGCTTTTCGTTGGCGAGTCCCTCAACAGCAAGTTTTTTAGTAACAAATTAACTTTTTAGGCACAACTCGGTTATAGCCCCCGTCTACTTTTAACTTTATTGTAAATAGTTTCAACTTTAACTATAGTCAAACTAGTATTTATGATGCTTGAATAAATAGCTATGTAGAATTATAGTTCTCGACACGCAAATTGATTTTGGCGCCAAATTGTAACATTAAGCAAAAACTCACTTCGATCCGCTGTCTGGATCAAGTTTGGCCTTTTTCGCTTCAACACCGGCAACCGCATCCTCGATGGCTCGTTTCTTTGCCGCAACATGATCCGCTTTCGCTGCCTTTTTCTGAAGAAAACGTTATCTCGAAATTCTTTAACATTTAATTACTTACCGGTAGAAGCATAACGGACGCCGTCTTCTCTTGATCCTCGTCATCCTCACTGTCGGAAGAGTCTAAAGAAAATTCATAAAAAATACACAAATCAAGTCAACCGTTTTCTTCTCCGTCTGCTTTCTTGCCGCGAAGTGTCTCCTTCTTGTTACGCTCTAAAGCCTTACGTTAGCGATTAAAAAATATTACCAAACCATTTTCTTCCTCTTCTTCCTCATCTTCGTCGTCATCGGAATCACCCAATTTACGCAGCCCGTCTTCTTCTCCAACGCCAACGAGCTCCTTGTCGAGTTTTTCGTCGAGTGGGATCTCTTCACGACTAAAAACTGATGTTTAAAAAGGTTACATCATGCAAATATACAGAACTGGCATATGTTTGATTCTTTTTAATATTAAGCACTGATTATATTATAGAAAAAAAATCACTCTGTGTCCGATCCCGAATCAGACATGTAATCAACTTCTTGTCCATCCTCTTCCCCATCTTCCGATTCATATTTGGCCACATCTTCGCTTTCCTTTACCCGTTGTCGTTTGTCTTTCTTTTCTCTTTCCGGTCCTTTTTTTTTCTTGTTTGTCTTCTTTTTGCCCTTTCCACCTCTCGAAGATTCCCCTTCCTCCTCATCTTCATCATCATCCGATGCATCCGTGTCAGAGAAATTATCTTTGATCTTCTAAATTTCATGTGAAAACAATACCTATTTTCAAAAGCTAACCAATCTAGACGTTTTCTCAAGCTGTTCCCCGTCTTCCTGATCGATCGTTTTGAGAATCTGAGCTTTGAGAGCAAACTGGTTGAGATGTTTGGCACGTCTAAAACAAACAATCAAGCTACAAATAGACTTTCTTACTGTTGAAAGAGTTCTTCAGCTTGATCAATGTCTAACACTTTGTGAGTGATTGAGGGCAAGAATTGATGCCAAGCCTCAACCTAAAGAAAACAAATTAAATCTTATTTTGTACTCGATAGTCATAACTAAGCAATGCCAAACTTTACCTTATAAGCAAGAAAATCGTTGTCATTCTTTAGGAAAACCCAATAATCAGCGTGTTCACCGGCTCCACCCTCGCGCATCGAACGAAAGCGACGCACTCGACCACCCAAATAACAAATTTACGTTGAATTATTTTTGGTTAAGAGTCTTAACCAGTAATCATCGCAACTAATTAGGTACACTTCTTACCTTCTTCCATCACTGAAAGTTTCCATGGTTGATTGTCAAGTTTATATGAGCGTGATTGCCTTCCATATTTCTTTCTTCTTGCCTCTTCTCGAGCTGCTCGTCCATATTCTGTGCCTTCGCCATAGTCCTAAAGTAGCAGAGCTTGTAAACAATTATATAATGGCATTGATAGTTCCTCAATACTATAGGCAAGCAAGTTTGACGTGTTATTTGTTGACTTGACTAAGCTTTCATACACAAAATCTTTGCTATTGCACACCTGAGTTGGAGCGTTCACCAAAACCGTGCTTCGATTATCTTCCCTCTCCAGAGATACCTTAAAGAAACGATTGAACACTTATAAATGACATTTTACCTGCGCATTTCCCCAAGACGATGTATCCACTTGGAGATTGCTGTTGAATTTGAGAATCGTGTGATGTTTGTTGGTGTTCATTCTAAATGCAACGCTTTTTTAAGAATTAAGCTTAAAAACTTACTTCGGAACTTTCACCGCATATTCAAGTGTACCCGGGTTTGACATTATGACTGAAAAATTACATGGCTATGAAACTAGTATCAAAAAATTTCAGATATTGCGATCGAACTTTGCAAGAAAACTACATTCAGAAGAAGTTATCAAAAGATTTATTCAAAACACGAAATATATTACGTAAACAAACGAAAAACAAGATAACAATCGCCTATCAAAGAAAATCACAACAACCTAGAACAAGAAATAAATAATGCACTAAAAAATAATGCTAGAATCCTAAGAAGCTCTTCTTTTTCTGTGCCGCTTCGAAGCCGATTACCTTGAGTCGAATAATATCGGCGATTTCGTTGGCTTTTCGATTTTGTCCGTAATAATCGTGGAAATTACCCTCGGGATCGATCAAATACATTATCACCTGAAATATTAGGCTTGTTGAAAGCATAAGTTGACAATGACTAGTTGATTTTCAAATTTACAACTCATTTACATCTAATATTGACTAATTCAAATCACTAGATACCTCTCACTGATACAATTTCATTTGGTCTAAATCTGGGTTGCAAGATAATTTGAGCAAAAATTACCGTATGATCAACGATGTAATCATCTTCGGTCGTTTTTGGGCCTTCACTGTGATAAACGCGGAACGTCTTCGCCACCTTTCCAACCTAAAAAAACAAAAGTTTAATAAAGGATGTATCTACAAACTTGTTCTTTTGTCCCGGTATATCCATTCAATTTTGGGGAGAACTCGGAACAATATTGTTTCACGCGTTGCACGGTGTCCCTTGCCGGATCCACAGAGATGAAGATCGGTTTTATTGAGATATTGTCCTCTTTCTTCGCCTCTATTAGATCAACCACCTAAATGTTCAACTGTTAACTGTTTGACTCAATCACCACTAAAAACGACTAACCCAAAGCTACTCTGACAGCTCGACCAACCTTAATCATCTTCTCGATTTCATCCGGACAGATGTCTGGGCAATTCGTGAATCCAAAGTACAACAGCAACCAATTGCCTCGAAGTTGCTCAGAACCTTCTAAAGCAAAGACAATTATCTTTGGTGCTAATGATATAATAAGCTTGTAACTTGCAACGATTGTTGTAACATTCTTATTGGCAGCCCAATCTTGGCATTAGATAACATATGCACGCGTTGATTGATCTCTTCCTAAATTAAAAATTTAGCGAAACTCTGTCACTCCGCTTTGGTACATTTCTAATTTATGAAGATATCAATATGCATACACATGTTATTTAATGCCAAGGTCAGGCTAACAGCAAGATTATTATTATTTAAAATTCTAGCTACCGTAAAAACTCGAATAGAAACCCCTTTTTTATTTTGAGCTTATACCGTAACCTAAAAATTAACATAACCAAAAATAGGTATTTTACACTTTTATTAGTGCAAGGATTTTGCGGGGATTTTTCGAGGAGGAACGTGAGCACATGCGAGGCCTCTACAATCAGGTCTGGCCGAGGCGGATGAGGGAACTAGAGGAAATGATCACTCAATGTTCGTAGAACGATTGTTCAAGTGAAGAGAACGACATACGCTGTTAAATACGCCATGAATTTTTCTATACATGCGGTCGCAAAGAAGTATCGAGTTGATCGTTCAATGCTTCGACGATGAATAGGACAAGAAAAAAAAAGCTTGTACAGCAAGAAAGCCAAGCAAAACGTATGAAAGGCGGACGGGACTTGGCGTCGATTGAGCTGGAGAACGGGGTTGTTACCAGAAATCTATCACAAAGATTTGTTCGATTTCTAATTTTTTCATTGAATAATAGAAGCCCCAGGGTTCCTATTAGAATAATTACGGTATTTTCCACGGTTGAGAGAAGAAAATGAGCTAAATAGCTTAAATGCAAATTTAACCCCTCCCCTAAGTGGATTAGCATCTTATCTTTTCTTCACTTTATTCCAAGCTTACCCAATTTTCCATCTGTATTCACCAGTTCCCACTCTCCTCCAATCCGCGCCTTTCCAGCCGTCATTTTTCTGTGCTTTTCCCGTTCATCTATTCTCTAAAACCATCTTATCAAATGAAAACGTCCTTTAAAATAATTACCATCTTTTTAACGTAGAGTAGAGCTGCTAAACACGTGCCACCGATCATCAGCGTTGCAGCTGCAACTTTCCAGCTGAAGATCCCGCTTCTTTTATGCGCTTCTCGCTAAATAACCCGGATTAGAAGAAAATTTTAACTTCATCACCTCTTTATCCTGTCGAAAGTTCATGTAGTTTTTAGTGATCGGAGCCTCGGTGTCGATTGTTTTTTGAAAATCTTTCTTCAACCGTTCATTCAGCTCATTCAAATCCTTGTCCAACGAAAGGTCATCAGGTTTTTTCGAAGAACACGGTCGATGTTGGGCACGAAGTAGTCTCACATTGAAAAGACGATAGATTTTGATCATAGCTGAAAATAGAACATGTAGTGAGACGGAAAAGAGCATGAAGAGAGCAAAATCTCCAGGTTTATAAATTTTATTGAAATAAAAAGAGTATTCAGCTAAAGAAGCAACAGCAGAAGCTCTATATTTATACTTTCATGAAAAGAAAAAGAGGATTCAGCTTATTCTTTGAAAACTTATTAGCATGATGCGTGATCATATATCTAAAAGCGCAGTTTTTGCAAGTTTATTTCATTTTGGCCTTCTCCCTCAATGTTTGCATCTTCCTCAAGTAATTACGAAACGGTGAACCTACATGTTGGGTGAACGCTATAGGGATGAGTTGGTGTGGCTAGTTGTTTCGTGTACTCACTTGCTCCCCCCTTTTCCGCCTGTTTTCCCCAACCAGTTCATTCTATCGCAAAAACACAACGCGCGCTCATCGATATTTCCCCAATTTGATTAGTGCTTAAGCTTCTAATTATTGTTTCTATCGACTACCTGCGCTTCTCGAACGACTTTTAGAAACAATGCATCAAGAAATCGCCTAATAGTTTGACACATTGCCCTTCTTTCAATGTTTTTGCAACTTTCATTTACTTGTACAAATTTTTCTTTTCAGAAACGTTTTACTGAAGTGTTATCGCTCGGTGAAGCCCCGTCTACCCAACAAATTGGCCGCAAACGAACTGGTTGATTGATAGCTTGAAGGTAAATTGTGCCCACGTGACCTTTTTGATCTAGCGCTAAGTGTTCAGTTTAACCAGGAATCCTTGTGAAGAAAAAGTACGTGAATAAGAGCAAAGGAGGTCGTAAGAATAGTTGTCCATCGAAACATTACCATTGTCTGTTTTTAGAAAGATTCTCTTCTCAGCCTCAACGTCTTGCGTTTGGTGATGATATGAGGGACGGCGAGCCGCCACGATTATGCTACACTGATCCGTCCGGAGTATTGAGGTAAAACTTTGTGCCTTATAAAGTTACATTTTTTTATAGGGGACCATTTGATGAGTGGCGGATACTTGAATGGTACCGACAAGGATTCTTTGCAAATACGATTTTGTTCAACTTGGAAAACGATGATGTCAATAAATTTTCATTGGGTAGGTTCAAGAGGAAAGTATTCTTGAAATTATTCTTTAGGTGATTTGATAGAACGTTTTGGAAGGGACAACCCGTTTGCAAGTCGATCAAATTGGCAAACTAGTCGCTTGAATGGTACAACGTCAACGGCCGAACAAGCACCGAAACATGAGGGGAATCAACAATTTGTTTGCACGGAATGCCGAAGAAACGGTGAAAGATTGGACGCTCTTCTCACGGCTGTACATAGGATCCAAAATGTACTTGAAGTCAACACACAAAATGTTGCCGACAATACAACTGTATGCTTTTTTTCACTTCTTGCAGTATAATTCTTTACTTTTAGGCTATTGCTTCCCTGCGAGCAATGCTTGAAGAGTCGCGTCTGTCCGCTTGGAAATGGAATTCTTCAGATATCAACTCAGAGCCCCAACAAAAATGTATGCTTGTATTTGTTTGTGCAATAATTTTTGTTTAGTACCAGCTCTTCCAACATTTGCCGACATTCTTTCCAAGAGTGATTCCGGAATTGTGCCCAACGAAAGCTTTTCAAAGAAGGCATCACCCGACAAGGAAGTACTTCAGGAAAACGGTGGTGGCAACGAAGTGGGTGACATTTGCTGTGTTATTTAATTTTGAGCATAGTAGCATAATATTTTAGGTCGATGAGAAGGTTCTCGGCAAAGATTGGCCTGTAAAAGGCTTTGCTAAAGAAACAAATCCTGGCGATGATTTGGCATCTTTGGAGGTTCGTTGATTCCTCTATAACCATCAACTTGGTTTTAGAAATCTTCAACAAAAAGCTTGCAATTGGATAGCTTTGTGTCGGCCGAGCTGATGAAGATGCAAAGTGTACCAGCGGCTACAAAAAAACAAGATCAAGGGGTAATTTCTCAAAGTTTGCGAAATATCTTTCTTTTAGGAATCTCTACTACAGAAGATCAAAAAGAAGAGCAATGGGAATTCAACTGAAAAGAATGGCCACCCACACTTCACACTGCCCGACTCGGTGAAAGCTGAAGATATGAGGAACGATGCAAAGGCAGGACCCGAGGATCTACACAAGAATACAAATCAAGCACACGAAAATGATTGGATAAACGCCAACACCAAGGTACCGTTATCAAGTTTTTCCTTGATGCAATGATTTTAGCCATCGTTTCATCCGTTTCCTGGTGCCACCACGCCGGGAGTTGTACAGCCAATGATGGTGCAGGGCGGGGGAATGCCCAAATGGTCAACGGGCGTCAATGCAAATGTCGGCTCGCCGCATCACTTCAACTACAATCACGGTCAAAATGTGACACCAATGACGAGCACTTGGGGACAAAACTCGTTTGCACCGCTTCAGGTAAACTTTTGGAAAAATTTAGCTATTAAATAAAGTACTAAATATGCAAGTTCGGCGTCAGGAAAATATTAAAACTTTCTTTAGATGGCGTATCGAACTCCTGCATCTCCACCTACGCAAACAAATCCCCCCACCTTTGCCGCTGCTGCTTTGAAAGAAAAGAAGGAAATCAATCCACCGCGGAAGGTTTTTAAAACTTGAGAAGCAAATCAAATCCTTTTCTTAAGCCTGAAACAGAAGAGTCGGGTCCTCGATTGGTGCCGGTTGGTCGAAATCCCCCTCGAATGATTATGCGCCGAGCCCCAACCAACAAACAAATGTACGTTTATTTGGCCCACTACTAATGGAGAACTTGTTTAGATAGAGCGCTGTTGTTTGGATGTCGCCATATAGCAAAAAGTATAACATTGACTTGAGGCACATCATCTTCCCATCTTGCCTTTTCCCCTATTTTCCACTCTCTTGTCTCAGAGCACACCTCCTTGTTCATATCAAATTATTTCACTTATCTCTGAATATTCTGAGCGATATCTTCTTTTTTTCGTGTTTTTTGAATCTTTTTAATAACGTTTGTGCTGTGCTTTTACGGCATGTCTTATTTTAGAGTGGTTGGCCAAGTGTTTAGTAGAAGTTTAAGGTTTGGTGAACGGCTCGATCAGAGATACACGATGAGAGATGAGAGCTCATTTGTGGTAGTTTAAGTTTTGTTGTTGCAATTTCTTGTTTTTAAATAAATAATTTTATCATTTCTGTTCGGTTATCTTTTCAGTTCATTGCTAATTGATCCCTTTAATGTTTGCGAAACTGAGCAGATTATCGTCTTGGCGGCCCTTGTAGAAGCTTTAATGAAGATTCCACTCGAATTTCACTTGATAATTTGTGGCATTTTGTTAATGCTCCTTAAGGAATTCCCCCAGTTGGATAGGTGTAAACGTTTTATTAAAGCTTTTGCAAGCATTTAATTATTTTTAAACGTTCGTCTGTTGTAGGATGCTTGGGATTGTTGGTGAAATTGGGGCGTTAAGTCGTTATGCTTTGCTCCTTCATAGGACGCGGTTCCTCTCATCTACGTGCCGCGCTTCGTTCTATGCTCAACACTTGCTCATTCCGTTTCCACATAAAAAGATGTCGCCTTTTTCCAGCACTCGATTTCATTCGATAGCTACTGGTTCTTTCGCCATGGCCTCTACGTGTCCCGCCGGCTCGATCGTCAAGGAGAAATATGAGCGTCTGCCCGACTATGCCGCTCCAACCCACTACAAGATTCGCCTTGAGCCGGACTTTAGCTCGTAAGTTTTTAACATGTTTTTTTTACATTTTTTTCTTAGGTTTACCTTCAAAGGCTGCGTTGAAATCGATCTCGACGTGTTGAAAGCAACAAAAGTTCTCAAGGCGCATGCCAAGGACTTGAGCATTAGTGGGATCACTTTGAAGCTTGCGAATGGACAAGGTAACTTGGTTGTTGGTTGCTTAATACTTTTTGTTTTAGAGTTGCCAAACTTGCAGCACACGTATTCGGAAAAGTCAACAATGCTTGCGATCGATTTACCAATCGAGGTTACTCCCCAAAAAGTGCAACTCAAGATCGATGTATGTTTGATTAGTTTACTGCTGATAACCGAGGATTTTTAGTACATGGGCGTCCACAACGACAAAATGCAAGGATTTTATCGCTCGAAGTATCTTCACGAAGGACAGGAGAAATGGATTCTTGCTACTCAGTTTGAGGTAAGCTTTGGTGAATGAACTTATGATGTTTTAAATTTAGTCAACTTATGCACGGGAGGCTTTCCCGTGCTTCGATGAGCCTATGTACAAGGCTACTTACGATGTGACACTTGTAGTTGACGATGGTTTGACGGCCTTAAGCAATGCTCCAGTGAGACTAATACGTAGCTATTAGTTTAAATCGCTGGTTTTTAGGTTCGTGCTGAATCCAAAGAAGGAAAGAAACATATCGTCACCTTCGACACGACTCCAAAGATGAGTAGCTATTTGGTTGCCTTCGCTGTTGGGCACTTTGAGTATCTAGAAGTAAGGAGTATTTTTTATTTAAACACAAGAATTCTTTAGCAAAAGTCCTCCAAAGGAACCTTGATTCGAGTCTACACTGTTCCAGGAAAGAAACATCTTGGTGAATTTGCTCTTGAGGTAAAATATTAATCTAATCATATCATCTTTTAGTTTAGGTGGGAACAAAGTCGATTGACTGGTATGCGGATTGGTTTGGCATTCCTTATTCAATGCCCAAATGCGATTTGATCGCCATTCCGGATTTCAGCATGGGTAATAGTTTCAAAATGATAACGGTTTTGTAATATATTTAGGAGCCATGGAGAACTGGGGTCTTGTCACATTCCGAGAAATCGCACTTCTCTTCGATGCCGAGAAAACTTCAACCAAACAGAAGGCCTACGTCGCGCTTGTGATTGCTCATGAATTAGCGCATCTGTGGTTCGGCGATCTGGTCACAATGGTTTGTTATCATTATTGATCTCTTCAGGTACACTTCTTTAGAAATGGTGGACCGATCTTTGGCTGAAGGAAGGCTTTGCTTCGTTCATGGAATACCTCTTTGTTGGCTACAACTACCCGGAGATGAAAATTTGGCTGCATTTCTTGAACGACGAGCTTGCTTCGGGATTCGAACTTGATGCATTAAAAAATTCGCACCCTATCGAAGTTTGTGCTTTGCATAAGTGTAACTTAGCTTTTTAGGTGCCTATTGACAACCCAAACGAATTGGATGAAATCTACGATTCAATTACCTACGCCAAGTCCAATTCAGTCAACCGAATGCTTTGCTTTTACCTCGGTGAAGAGTCTTTCCAGGTTAATTAGTAACTTGAACGTTTTCATTGGGCTTTTAGAAAGGACTGCGCATCTACCTTCAACGCTTCCAATTTTCAAATGCAGAAACAAACGACTTGTGGAAATGTCTTTCGGAGGCTAGCGGAGTGGTGGGATTTTTTTTGACCAAATCATTCAAATAACATTTTTTAGGATGTGATGGCCTTGATGTCGGGTTGGACAAAGCAAATGGGATTCCCGGTTGTAGCGGTCTCAAAAGTCTCCGAAGATGACAAGAATCTGAAACTTTCCTTCACGCAAAAACGTTTCATCGCCGACGGATCTGAAGACTCTGCGGACTCTTTATGGAAGGTAAATAATATTTGTTAGCGATGTATATAAAATAAAATAAAACTTTTTAAGGTTCCGCTAACATTCTCCAGCACAAGCTCACCTGATCAGCCCTTCCATAGGACCGTGTTGAGCGAACGTTCTAGTGAACAAAGTTTGGCCGTCGCTAAGGGCGAATGGTTAAAAGTTTGTTGACAAAGTTATTTCTTTAATCGTTTATTTTAGGTTAACCAAGGAACGACGGGTTTCTACCGTGTGAAATATTCCGGCGAGCTGCTCGAGGGACTTCTGAAAGCTGTCGCAAACCAAACTCTTCCCGTTTTGGATCGCTTTGGATTGAGCAACGACCTCTTCGCTTTGGTATCTTTTTGTCTAATTAGTTAAAAATGACAAATTTAGGCTAATGCCGGTCAAGTGCCCATCTCACAAGTGTTGTCATTCGTGGAGAGCTCGCTGAAAGAAAACGAATATTCTGTTTGGAGGTAAGTTGTCTATTTGAAGAACAAAGGAACAAGGATTTGAAGATTAAGGGACTTTTAGGACGCTTGATCTGGGAATCGTCCGGATTTCGGATACTTTGGCCTACTTCGATTCCGATGGCGCTCTCAAGAAACGGTTTTAATGCACAACTTTACTTATCTATTTTATTTCAGCTTTGATCGTTATGTCACCGATTTGCTTGCTGGTGTTTTGGACCGTGTCGGATGGGAAGTTGCTGAAAAAGAAGATGGCCAAGTAAACATTTAAATAGTACAGTGTAATCAGTGATCATGTGATCATTTCAGGTGAGTCTCCTTCGTGGACTTTTGGTTGGACGACTTTGCAAATCAGGACATCAGCCATCGATAAACAAGGCTCAGGTAAGCCTATAAAAGTGTACTCTTTTGTAATTTACTAGTTTACTTTTTTGTAGGCAATGTTCAACGCTTACATCGAATCGAATCAGAAAATTCACGCGGATCTTCGCCTTGCAGTCTTTGGTGCTGCAATTCGATCAGGAGGAGATAAGGTATTTTTGCAAATTAGATATCTTAATAACTGATTATTTGGGCTTTTCAACAATTGCTCGAACATTATGAGAAATGTGGATTCCCCGAGGTTGAACGAGCTGCTCTCATCGCACTTGGATTGGTACTAACATATTTTTGAGCCAAACAAACAATCTTTTAGACTGATCCGACTTCTGGTCGTCTCGAGAAGTTATTCGACTACGCCGTGGCTCAGGGAAAAGTTCGCTCACAGGATCTCATGCAAATTTTTGTGGGTCCGGCTGTTTCACGGGATGGCCAGAAGTTCATTTGGAACTTCTTCAAGTTCGTTTTGACTCTTTTATCTTAATCAATTTGTTTTAGGAGCAATCTCAGCTTGTTGCTCGACAAATTCGGAGGAGCTAACAGTGGTCTCTTCCAACGGTGCATGAAGGTTTGTCACCTTTTTGTTTAATTAATTATTTGCTTTAGCTTTCTGCTCAAGAATCTTGCAGCGAAGAGATGGCCAAAGACGTGGAGACATTCTTCTGTGGAAAGATTGATGCCACAGCTCTCGCTACCTTGGATCGTCCAATCAAACAGGTATGGTGTTGTTGTTAGTGAAGTGATTGATAGTTTATTTTTCAGGTGACCGAGCACATTCGCAACAACGTGAAGTTCCTCGCCTTCGCCGCGCCTCAAGTGGACGAATATCTCAAGAAGAAAGGCTATTAAGCTAGACGGAAGTTCTCTTTTTTGATGTACTAAATGTTTGCATTCGACTTTCGGTTATTTATTTCTGTGATTTGTTTGTATAATTCCCCGGTTTTTCATTTAGTGGTTGCTTTATTTGGTATAAGAGAATAAATATTTCAAAACGAAAACGAAGAACTTTTGTGCTTAAAAACGCATTGAAATTCTGAGAAGACACCAATCATCGATCTATGACATGGTCGTTCATTTATCAGAAGGACGCGGGGGTACGTCATTGTTTCTGATATGGTCTCTGCTTTCTTCTTTACTCTCTTCTCCGGACTCTCGACCATTTCCCCTTCGCTTCTTGGCTGTCTCTCGTGTGTAAGGTTGCTATAGGGGGTTCTCTTTTCCTTTCTTTTGTCTTTTTCTCTCACAGTCTCTTTAGCCCAGCTGCTTGTGTCTCCCGTCTCGTCTCGACCCACAAAAAAAACTGCTCCCAATATCGATTGTTTGCCACCGATCTATTCTCCGATTTTTTTTGTGAAACTGATCAATCTGTTTATCGCTGATTTACGCCAGCTGTTCGACAAATTTCTTTTCACTGATGATCACATCGATTTTATGTCGGGAATTCTTGGATTTTATTCGACTAACTGTTTCTGTTTTGATTGGATCATGTTTGGCTTTGGAGAACGATTTTTGTATTTCGTTCTTGTAGCCGATGAGTATTCGATGATTTTTCCATTTCATTCTGACTCAAGCATTGTTCTTGAGGGATCTTTGGTCTTCACATTACTGCGGTATAAGCAATCAGTCGAAATTTCTCAGGGCAAGCCAAAGTTAAGACCGATTGACGGAATAGTCAACCCTCACTTCATCAACTCGCGTGTGATACATTGCTTTTGAAAGTGCCTTCCGTTTTCCGGGGGAGTTTCTATTTCTGTGTATGTGCCCCGGGGACGCCCTTGAAATAATGTGAATCATTGGAGCGAATGGGAGGAATTTCGGGAGAGAGAAGGTGCGGGAAGAGGTGATTGGGAAGGCTCGCTCAGCCATCAAAGCGGCAAGGAACCGCCCTTATCTAGACTGGGACGGAGGAGAGCATAATAAGGGCAAGGATATGAACCACAATCAGTTGGGGTGCGGAAAGGCTGGGAGAGGAAAGGGGGGGGGGGGAGCAGGGGAAAGGGTGATTTACAACATACGGCCTCCTTTGCGTGCTGATCCTAAAGGCTGCGGGTGCGCGAGTGCAGAGGGGAAACCTCTCCTTGACTCTCGTATTTCCCTGGCTTTTACCATCTTTCGAAGATATCCATTTGTGAGCTAATACCGCTAGATTTGATTTCTATCGTGCTTTGTGAACCCAGATATTTGGAGTGAATCTGTTGCCATTTTGGCTGTCAAACCACTGAAATCTAGTGTCTTTGGTCGAAAATTCAGTGAAATCTGGGATTTCCTTTGCGTTTGTCTAGTGTCTGGCAGAAGAATTGCCTTAGTATTCATTTGTCAACGTGATTTCTCTATTGAGATTCCTAGCTCTGTGGAACTTTAACTTCAAATGCAACTCTTATACTCTAGCTATGGGACTTTAAAAATCCCCAAAATCTTGTTGATTTGGAGGTTAACTTGTGCTCGAATAGAGTAGGATTTGGGGAAAACTCTGAAGCTTGATCCCTAACAACATAATGGGGGAACGGCCTGTGCCTCTCACTTTTTCCCTTTCCTTTCCCCCACAAAAGAGACAACACCGACCGATTGCACAGTGGAAGCTCTCCTCCCTTTTCCTGGAGAGAGTGCGCGAGTGTGCCCCGACCTGGGTGAAAGAGAGGCTCTCTCACCAATCGTCTCCCTTTTTCTCTTTCTTTTTCTTTCCCCCAGTCTTGCAGCCGCAACGCGTGCCCTTCTCCCCATTCCCTCTCCCTTGTACCATCGTTTCCCTTGTTCTTCCATCTCCATCTCAACGTCATCATTGTGTTCTTCACTCTTGTCTTTTCCTCTACTCCTCTTTACTCTTCTCACCACCCCTAATCTGTCTTTTGTCGTTTCGACGAGAGACGACCAGTTGTATGTGTGTGTTTCTGGCAGACACTTGAATTTCTTGCAGTAACCCCATGTCTCTTCTTCTTTCCTTCCAGCCCGGCTTTTGTGCGGCAATCGATTGACTTTTTTGAGAAATCTTGGGGTTTTTCGAGGTTTCATAGCATTTTGCTACTGACTCACGTATTTAAATGACAGGATTTTTGCTCGGTTTTGGCCTTGCTGACTCGCGGAAAGGCATAAAACGGATAAACAAGACTAGTCTTTTGATGAAATTAAAGAAACAGCTCCGAATTTCAAGGTTCGCAGTCATTGTATGTTTTGCTTGGGAAAACAAGTAAAAAATATTGCGGCCATTCACACTCAGCATACTCAAAAACCCCGGAAAAGCACGGGAAATTTTAAATCAAATTTTAGAATTTCTCAAAATTCCTCAAAATTTTAAAACTTCTGGTCAAAACTTCATTGTTTTTGTTTTCCTTGTTCTTTGTTGATCCGAAATTTTTTCGTCTTCAGACTAGATGGTGCTCGCCGACGATGATCCAGATATCGATGAGGCATGGCGGCACACGGCGAACATGTTACAGGTGGGGAATTTTGATGATTTTATGCAAAAAGCTATGCAGTTTTTTAGGAAAAGATTTGTTTATCGATAGACTAGGTAAAAATATCAAGCTTGAGCTAATTTATCAAAAATGTCCTCTATTTTATGCTTGAAAATTACTAGTACTTGGTTATCGATAAGGCTGTAAAAATTACCTTAAGCTTACTTTTGGGTAAAACAGTTAATATTTTACTTCTTTAGGCACGCCAACAGATCACCAACAACGCGATCAGCAAGAGAAAGGTGAGCAAATTGAAAAAATCGGGGCATTTTGGGCTATAATGTTAAATTTTAAATAGGATGATACATTTTGTGTGTCATTTTGTCATTTCATTTCAATTTTCCTGGGTCTCCAGGCTTTCCCCCTCTTAATAGAATGATTGTTTTGACTGGGGGGAAACGCTGAATCAAATTCGATCAAATTGATTCGCTGATTTCTTCTTTCTTTCTTTCTTTCACGTTTGACATTATTGCATTTTGGGGAAATTAAATGACAAACTTTTCATCGAAGTAAATGATTTCATTTTCTAGGAACAACTCAATCGGTGGATCACATCGGAGATGAACGGCGCGAGCACGAGTCGGAGGGATGCTAAAGTGCAATTTCATGTGAGTTGACGGGATTTGTATAGATTGAGTATGATAGATTGGAAATTAGCCAAATTTACCCTTTTCGATTGTATGTTAAGTGCTTTTCGATGAGCTGAAAAATTAATATATTGGACTGTTAAAATAGTTTTTTAGGATGAGGATATTTTCCTGTCGGCTTGCATGTCCGGAGATGAGGATGAAGTGGAAGAACTGCTCGATAAAGGGGCCAACATCAATACGGCGACCGTTGATGGATTGACAGCATTGCATCAGGTGAAGACGTTGTTTGGCTAAAGTTAAAAATGCTGATAATTGATTAAAATGAAGAATTGAGCATTTTGATAAGATGGAGCTGGCACTTGCTTCAAACAACTCTTTTCAATCCACCTCTTTAGAGTGTCATCGACAGTAAACCCGAAATGGTGCGTTTCCTTTGCGAGAAGGGTGCTGATGTTAATGCTCAGGTAAATGATTCAAGTTTCACGTCTAGATTTGATCTTTTTCAGGATAACGAGGGTTGGACGCCTCTTCATGCGGCGGCTTGTTGCGGAAACGCGGCCATCGTGCAATATTTGTGCCAACAAGGAGCCGACTTGACAATTATTAATAGGTAGACAAGCTTTTGCACTTTAAATCCAATTTTTTTTAGTGACAAAGAAGTCGCATTGGATTTGGCTGAAGACGAGGGTTGTCGAGAGTTTTTGGAAAGTGAATACAAGACAAGGGTTGGTTTTTTGAGAAACATCCTAGCTTGCACAACTAAAAGTACATCAAGCTATTGTCTAGGGAATCGATCCGGAGAAATGCAGAGAGCGCGAGTTGACGACGATGATGGACGACGTGCAAATGTGGCTTCGAGAGGGACACTTTGGGTAGCTGCTCGTAAAAATTGTTCATAATGGCTCTTTCTTCAGCGATTTACCACATCCACGAACGGGCGCCATGGCTTTGCACGTGGCCGCCGCAAAGGGGTACACACAGCTGGTCGAACTTTTGCTGCAAGCGGGCGCGGACGTGAATGTCATGGACAAGGTGCGAGTTTGAACGAAATAGCTCTAAAGTAGGCACCTTGATTTGAATATGTGTTTGGGCTCACTAAAGCCGCAGTGCGTTGGTGTGCCTCCAGTAAACCCAAAGTCAAAAATTAGCTTTATTTTAAATAGCTCATGATAATGAACCAAGTTCATTCAGTAAACATATTTTCTTGAATCTTAATTTTTTTCACTTTTATTGCTATTTAATTTCAGGACGGATGGACCCCGCTTCACGCGGCCGCTCATTGGGGGGAACGGGATTCGTGCAAGATTCTAATTGAACACGGAGCTTCGGTGACTGCTGGAGGTTGTTGATTTATGTTCGGTCTTTGAAAATATCAATTCAGGTGCTCCCGGACAATCGGTGCTTGCTGTTGCGGATAAGGAGATTGTCGAGTACTTGGAGGATCTTGAAAAGGTAGCAATACTTTTGAAACAGTTTACTGAATTTTTGTTTAGACAGTCGTCAAGCGCCGCATTCCCTCAAATCCACCGCCGACGATTCTCGGCGAGAAAAACCTCCGGGTCGACGCGCCTAAAGAGGCGGCCATTATTTTGCCCGAAGTTCGCGCAAATCACACACACTCCATTCCTCATTTCCATACGACGGAGCAAAAGCACGCTTTGGTGGTCAAGTGAGTTTTGAAGGACATCAAACTGTAACTTTAGCGTACTTAAAGAAAGGAGCACTTTTAAAATAGTCGCTAACGTAAGATACTGTCAATTCTCTCCATGTGAATTCTCTAATTTATACGGAATGCTGCTAATAAAGCCAATTTGTAGTTCATAAACTCTTTTAAACTACTAGGTAAAAATTTTTTGTCAAGTCACAATATTTCTAGGGATGAACGAGAAGAGAATGCGTGCCTGCACTCGGAAGCGAAACACCCACGCCTCAACCATGATCACGATGATCAGAATGATGAGGACAAGAATGATACGACGTTGACTGAAGAACAATTGAACAAAGAGGAAACACCAACACCACAAACGACAGCAAACGCGTACTTGCCCGAGAGGATGAGCATCGAAAAGTCACTAAGTGGTTGGTGAATTAGGTCTAGAATCTATCTTGTTTTGTCGCATCTTGAAATATTTTTTTCCAGGATCATCCGTTGCAAGGGAAGCCGCTGGACGCGAGCGATCGATGGAGATCAGTCCGGACGTTGTCGTGCGACAATCGCCATTCAAATCAACTCTTTTACAGGTTTAGAAAGAAGATAATTTTAAGCTTTTCACCCTCAATTTATAGGAACGAAATTCAATCTCATCAGAAAAGGAGTTGATGCCGACGAACTCGAGCAGCTTCCAAGTTGATCAAAGAATGGTGCGTTGCATAGTCATGGATACTGGTGTAACCTTTTTCTTTAGTCTACTCCATCCGAGTCGATCACAGCCGTCTCCACGTCGGCAACCGTCCCGTTGAGATCAATTCAGCAATCGTCATCGTGGATTAATCGAAATGTTCCTCTCGCCAGCTCGCGGTTAGTTTCATCTTGTCAAACTTTCCCTTTTCTTGAAAACTACTCTTTCCAAACTTTTAAACCACCTTTGTGCACTAGCAAACCCTCGTTTTTTGTTACCTAGTTTTTCCCAGTGATGATCAAACTGTTTGCACTAGCATTTCCTTCATTAGAAACTAGAGAAAATATTTTTTGGTTTCTGTGACTTTGGTGGGTCAAAATTATCAAATGACACTCATATTTTGAATTTTTAATTTATCTCTAAACACTAATTTACCTGGTCCAAGGCCGCCAAAGTCACAGGTACCAAATTCTTAGTGATTTCTTGTCATTTCACACACGGCTTCTTGCAGCACTCCATCCTTGTCGGCTTCTCCATCGCCATCGATCTCGGGAAGTTACTGCTCGGAAGAGGCGAGCACATCATCGGCAGCGAGCGGTGAGACGAGAGCCTCTTCTTCCTCTGCGTCACGATCCGCCTCTCAAATATCCGCTTCATCGTCTCAGAAAATCTCCTCTTCACACGCGTCTCGATCAATTTCCCGATCTGTCGCCGATTCGCGGTCTCGTTCAACCACCGAAGAGTCATCGGAACCCTCCGAATCGATCTACTCCGAAGAGGCATCCGAGCAAGCGAGTGAAAGCTCGGACGAGCAGCCATCCACCTCAACGAATGCTTCATCGGTTGAATCGAAATCCGAGTCACGCGGTGGATCGGGTGGTGCATCGATCGGCGAACAGAGGGCCTCATCAGCAACTTCAATCGACGAATCTCTATCATCGCGTGTCTCGTCTCTTACCAATGGATCGATGAGTGTGCGGATGACTTTCCGGCAACCTGCGTGAGTTTTGATTTTCTCTTTATCTTATCAGCTTAGCTTTTTGTCGCTAATGTGTTAGCATATTCACGACTCGTCTTTCCCGAGATTAATCCCGTCAAATTTTCAATGGTCAATCAATTTTCTGCCTTTTTTAATTGTCCTAACCTTTTTTGTTGTTAACCCCGAGAAATTCTCTGTCGTGAATGTGCTGACTCATAGCATGTGGTGTAAAACGTTTTTGTTTATCAACGTTTGCTTTTTGGGGGATATATTTAGTTTAAAGCAAATTCGCACATAAGCACATCACTCAATAAATTAAAGCTGAAATTAACTTTTTTTCACTCATTCATCTGTTTCTTTTCAGTGGCAGAGACACGTCGAGTGGGGGTGGAACGATGACAACGACCACGCCGACAACGGTGATGGGGGGAACGGTGGCTCGGAGTGCTTCGACTCCCTCGGCGGCCCTCCCGTGGGTGCGCGCGACTTCGTCGGGTACCTCGACTCCATCAGCAGCATCCGTTCCGCCATCAATCCCGCCGATGGCTACCCCAATCACCACATCGTCGTCGTCGAGTGCTTTCACGACCTTCTTGCAAAAGGATCGCGTCTCTGCCTTCTCCGCCTTTCGTCCGCCCACTAAATCGACTGTGCCCCCAGCCGCTCCGATGAGGTTAGTGTGTGATGGTTGGAAAATGTCATGGTGCTTTTTATTAGATGAGTAAAATTTCAGCATTAGCATTGACTAAACTTGCATACTACGGTACTTCTTATTAAATTAGCTAAATTCTATCAGTTACGTAGGGTAAGGATGTATTTTTGCATAGAAAAGTACCGATACTGCTATCTAACTTTTCAAAATCAACGATTCATTAGGTGCTCCTCTACAAACTTTGAAATTAAACTTTTTGTTGGCTTTAACAACTAAAAGATCACGGATGAGATTTTAATCACACGCTAATTCGCCTAAACACAAAGCTTTTTGTGCACACAACAATGTTCATAGTCGATCTGTCATTTTTAGTTGCCATTTTGATAAGCTTTAAATGTTATTTTTTTTGTTTCCAGTGCACCATCACTTGTCTCAAGTTCTCCACTCAGTCCACCGTCCATTCGAGCGCCATTCCGGCCACAACCACTGGCGGCTCCTGTGTTAAGGTTTGACGGCTTTGCTATGGCTTTAGTTTATTTATGTGTCACGTAGCATTGGTTAACACTAATTTTAGTATTTTGCGGGGTGAAAAGTGTTTTAAATGTTAAGAATTAACCACTATGTATTTTACTTTTTGGGTCATTGTCACAATTTAGACCATGGCAAGCAACAACGCCGGTGGCGACAAACGAGAGCGAGGCTGAACGGCGGAAAGAAGCACGAATGCATCGACAGGCTAGACGGTTTGGTTGAAACTTGAAAATGGGCATTATTTTATTGAGTATAGGTCAACACAAGCTGTCACAAAAGAACAAGCTGAGGAAGCATCGAGGTCGGCTGCTGAAGAACAATCGAAGAGACGGGTCGGTGAAATTCCCGGTGTTGCTCAAGTATCTATTCTTTTTTTTAGTCAAGTCGAAGCGGTGGCGAGGTGCGTTTGGCGTCCGAAGAACGCGACACGTCGGAAGGAGAAAATTTAAATGAAACACCGCAAAATGGTTTGTTTGCTGTAACAATTTGTTTGGCATAAAGACATTTTTAGTGAGCAATTCTTTGTCGACGCTGACCACTCCATCAACATCAGCCATTTTAACCCTCCAATCAGTGGCCGTCGTTCCGCCAAACAACACCCCGTCGGCGGCGAATATCCGAAAGAAAACCAATCAGGTAAAGGCAAAATTTTTGATTGACATTGAGTCCCATTTGTCTCTCCTCTAAGCGGCTTTTGTGTTATCTTTTTTTGTCCCCGTTTTCGCTTCTCTCAACTGCTTGACTCATAAAGGGAAATGGATGAGGGATTGATTGGTTTAAACGGAGGACCTTTGTTGTCTTTTTCCGGTCCTTTTTGAGCGTAACTCTATCGTTTTGTGACCTCAGTTAGATTTAATTCTTTTTAATTGGTGATTCGTTTCAAGACTGCTACCGGTGGTGGCCTACACACGGCGAATCGAGCGGTCCGACGAGGCACAGGGCCTGTGCTGGCAGAGGACGTGCACGCGGCCGTCTCACTTCGGTGTGTGGCCCCAACGACGATGACGAGCCCGCAGGGTGGCCCACCCACCACCCTGCCCATTGCCTCGTACACGCCGATGCCCGGGGTGACCTTCCAATCGGGCGCCTCGTCCGGGTTCCCCATCGTGCGCACCACCGAGTCGAGCGAGCGCCATGAGAAGAGCTTCTCGTTGCCGCCAAATAACAACAATAACAAGATCGAGCTGCAGTCTCCGGTGGGTTCCTGTGTGTGTGGAATTTGGATAGATTTGGTGTGTGGTGCATGCATGAGCATTTTGTGGACATTTGGTATTGTACACCGAAATGTGACCGCGTTTGGCACGAATAGCTTTTGATAGAGAAGAATCTACACTTCCACGAAATTTCAGTGCAAAATCCCCAATTTGTCGATTGTTGCATTCCTTTTCTTTGGTCATTTCCACCGGTTCTTCCTGAATCTTATCCTGGATTTCTCACAGAAATCTTTTCCCTTGCACTCACTTCCACGACCTCTCTGTTGCAAGCCGATCTGCTTGCTTTACTCTCAACCCTCAGCCAGCACCATCCGAGTGACCCTCTCCCTTTCGTTGTTTACCCACCCGTTTTCCCCATCCCTTTAACTCCAACGAATTGCTTTCAAATCAGTCCTCATTTACCCCAAATTCATTATCATGGTCACCGATTCCTATAAACGGCAGCAGTACAAATTGCTGCAAAACTCGGCCACTGCACGCGGTCGCTGTTTACCAATGATGTCTTCATCGTTCACCCTGGAATCGAGTCGATTGATCGAATCCTCTTCCCTTGTATCTAATCTACCTCGAGACTCGGTCTGTCGCTCGTCATCGGTTGGCGCGATTGTTAATAGAAAAACGTCACCCGATCCCCGGAATGAGGCAGAAACGACGAAAAGACTGGGTCGAGAGGAAAACAATCCCGCAGTGGCATCGGCACCGCGAACGAGATCTTGTTCACTCGCTCCACTCACTCGCGGGCATTTACCGACTCGACTCCGTTTGACTAGCAATTACGGAAAGGTGCAATTGTTAGACATACTTATCGATCGAGTTAATGGAAGTTAACTTGTAACTATCAATTGAAGTAACAAAAAATGCTATTTCTGCTCTTTTAGCACTAACTTTATCGATAATAGAATGTCTATTGTTGTCCAAAGGGTTTTCCGTTTTGACACCTTGTCTTTGTAGCAATCATTGATGCGTATCATTGCAACTTTTGATCCAAACACTCCTGTTATCCTTAACATTTAATGGAAGTTTGCAGTGAAAACACAATTCTCATTTTCAGTATAAGTGCAAAGATTGATCAATTTTCTTTGTTTGCAGACGGCCATTCGACAAGCGACTACCGGGGTATCGGCATTTGCTCAACGGAACGCTCAACAACAACAACAACAACAACAACAACAACAACAACAACAACAACAACAACAACAACAGCGGGCACGAAATGGGCAACCAACGACAGCATCGACAATTGGGGGAACTGCTAGTGGGATGAATTCAGCACAAGGGGAACGACAGAATGGACAGGTATTGCATTGGGTAATAATCTAGAATTGGGGTTAAGTTGGTGACGAATCGGTTGCGCAATTTGTATTATTGCGTAGTTTAACACAAAAACACATTTTAGACTATATAATAATACAAATCGTGAAACCGAAACGTTTCCGGTCTAACTAGAATCCTGCGCTTATAGGAGTTGAATCTGTTCTTAATAGAATGTTTGAGACCTGAAAACCTATGGTCATAATGCATAGAAACTTTACAACCAAGTTGTAAAGTTATGAAGTCTTAACTCAAATTCTTGTTTAGTTATCTTCGACGAGCTCGCTCACATCGGCCTCACTGAACTACAAGATTTTGTATGAACAGCAAAAAACGGAGAACGATCGTTTAAGGAAAGAACTCGACGAGCAAAGGAAAACAGCGGTTTGGGAGAGAAATAGTAGGATCTCTCTATCTCAACTCAATTTTAGAGTGTCAACTCGTCAATGAGACGCTCGACGAATTCCGCGATTTCCACCGTTTCCGGGACAAGAGCCGCCTCGTCTGGGGTGAGTTTAGGAAATTATTTTTATTATAATTTTGGTTTAGATAGCCAAATCTGGCTCCGGTGCATCGATTGAGGATGCCGAGCGGAGAAGGCTGGAGAACAAAATCGCCGAGCTAGAGTTCGAGTTGAGGGTGAGTGTTGGAAAATTAGAAAAAGAGGGGAAAAGTTTCATTTTCAGAATATCAATCAGTTGCGCTCGGAGAACCTGCGGTTGAAAGAGGAAAATGGAGCGCTGGTGAGGGTGATCTCGAAGATGACGATTTGAGAGAAAGCGGGGTACAATGATGAACAATAACGAAAACAACTGGATTGGCATTCTTTTTACAAACATTTACTTTTTACCCCTCTCCTTTTTGCGATTTTGTGGTTTTCTACGGGTAATTCGCCTCTCGACATCCTTTTTTGTCGTTATTCACGCACGAGTTCACACATCAACATTTTTTGACGCAATTCGTTTGTTTTCTTGTCGTATCTCCATCATTCGTTAACTACTAGGCTTTGAAATTTACGTACTCGTTGAGATATGGTCGCTCTTTTCCCCTATATCTTTTGTTTGTGAATTAGGAGTGAGACTTGTCTACCTATAGATCTTAGTAAGGGCCCGGATGGATAGTTAAATGTCTAGAGTATTAGAATATCTAGAGATATTCAAGCTACTGTAAAGCACAGGCATTTTCTGCTACAGTATGCTGTGCATCTTTGGCTACATTGGAGCCTAAAAGATATCAGGCATATTGTAGTCAGACAAAATCTGAGGCTTTACGTACTTTCAACTGAATAGATTAATATTATCAAACTATTCAGATATTCAGTTAAAAGTCCTTTGTGAGGTATTCCGAATAGACGAGTTTTCACTCCTTGTCCTTGTGCAATAGTCCTACCGTAATCCCTCATCAATTTTATTTCTGGATGATTACGGTAGCTCCACCTATCCCTTTTATATCAAAAAAGAATTATTAGCCTCAATTTTCGCTTATTTCTCGTTGATTTGTGTGTGCCTTAAGAAAAACCTTCTCTTTCTCTCAAAATTACTTTTCAGCTTACCTTTTTCAAATGTTTGAGGCCTTATACATTTGTTCGTCATATTCAGTTGCAATAATTCTTATATTCTCTCTTCTTTTCCTTTTCTTAAAATGCTAGATATGTGTATATGTGTACTATCTGTTTGTGTGTTTGTGTAGCGACTTTGATAATGTAAATTTAGATATGGGAGGAGTACGGTAAGCAGAGACGTTTTTGAAGAAAAACGCGTCGGGTTCATTTGATTTCACGAATTTAAAAAAATTTCACACGAAATTCACGTTGCTTTTAAATTTGCAACGAATTTTATATTATAATGTTAATTCGATCAAATTTTCTCGTGAAATTGGATGGATTTTCAGTGTTTCGGTCAAAATTTGAAAATTTGAAATTTTTACTTGCCGCCCTCCTTTTTTTGGCATTACCTATCTCTTTCTCCTTTCCCCCTCCTCTCCTCCTCCTGATGGCGCACTTATCATTTCATTACATTGTGTTTCTTTGATATATCCATCCACGCCAAGAAAAAATGATTATAGTACTCGTTTTTATCGCTATTATCGTCTATTTTGAGCACACCAAAAATATATAGGAAAAGCTCAAATTTGCATAAATAAATAAATTCTCAAGACAACAAGATAGCTAAATGCACGGAAAGGGGATTTCTTCGCTATCCTTTGCTTAACACAACCAGTTACAGTAGGAAAAATAGCCAAAATACAAATTTGGTAGCCACTGGGTTGCGGTAGCTTTGACTGGAGTGCACTTTAGCATCTGACTGCTGAGGATAATGGTGAGGGGAGGCATGAGTGCCAAAAATACTTTGAAAACGTTGATTTCAGTGCCGAATCGGCCCCTTCTGTGTATACGTGTTTTTTTTTTGCATGATTTCAAGGCTTTTACTGTATATTTTTATTCAATTAGTTAACACGCAATAACAACAACAATTGCGCATAAAATAACAATGGAATGAGCATAAAATAACAACAAAATACGATAAACAACATGATAAACAACAAATGCGTACAAGCAAAACAAACAAATCACATCAAATGAACAAAAGAACACAAAACTTTCAGACGATCAAACGATGAGTTTCCCAAGGGTCTATTTTTAATCGCTAGCTTCCGTTGTTGATGAGCAGTTCGAATTCGTGATGACTGTGGAGAGTTGGGACAATTGCTTCTGTGCGGCAAGAACGAACATCTTCACGTACTTTTCTTAAACCTCCAACAACTTTGTTGCCACAAATTGTGCCAAACATTTCGATGTGCTTTCCTAATAAACAAGATGTAAAAAGATACCCTTCAATTTGTCGTTATAACGCTCTTGTGAAGACGATTCAAATTTGTTCATCTCTCATCACAGCGCCAAATGAGTTCCAGTTTTCAATGGGGTGAAGCAGTAAGCAGTTTTCCGATATAGTTGTCTTCGAAGTATGCGAATATACCTAAAAATAGTAAGCTATCTATTTAAATTGTATGAAATTTACCACGCAACTCGTTGATAAAGTTTGAAAAATTGATATAGGCTTCATGTTGCACAAGACCTCAAAATACTTTCGGATTTTACAAAGGTTAGCGCCATTAATCCTTGTACATACTTATTGCAGGGTTTTGATAAACATCAACTAACTTGAAACCCTAAAAAACAAAAGTGAATAATAAAAAGGGAATTCACTAACCTTAAGAGCATCATAAACATTTTTGAAAAAAAATTGGAAGCCGCTGTAATGCAGATCTGTCGACTGTGAACACCATAGAACCCATTAGCGATTGCAATCTTCATGTTCAAATTAGTATTGCTGTTATTATAAAGATAAAAGCCATACCTGTTTTAATTTTTGTTGGTGCTGAGACACCTTCTTTTTGTAGTGCTTTAAAAACGTCGGCATAGCGATGCATCTCTTTTCTTACAAGGAATGCGTATGCACATGGAACAAGCAAGTGTACGATCTGAATATAAGATAAAAATATTAAAAAACATGAAACCAACTTTCACTCCAATCACAAAAAGATAAAAGCCATACCTGTTTTAATTTTTTTTTAGTGATCGAACACCTTCTTGTTGTCCTGCAGGCAGATCATTTTCTAAAGCATTTTCCGGTTCCGTAATCACGCATTCTATCGGATTGTTCTCTTTTTAGAGTTGAAAACTCTAAAACTCTTGAAGACTACAAAGAACGTCCAAGGGTCATCTATAAAGCACATCTATAAAGCACATCTATAAAGGGTCATCTATAAAGCACATCACCTTTCATCTATAAAGCGCTTCTAGCTGCAAATGTATATTCTAAATTCGTATTTATTGCACTGATAAGCTCTTCAGAGACATGGAAAGCTAAATTTTTCACGCTTTTTCGATATCTGGGTGCAAAAATGTCAAGAAAAACGATATCGAGATGATTTGAAAACATCGAAGGAAAAGATATTCAGGTAAGATATCAAAAATGAAAAGGAATTAGGGAATTCGGGGGGACTCCAGGGGAAATGTGAAAAGAAGCGAAAATTAGCATTTAATTTTTGTCTTGAAAATAAAATTAGCATTGAATTTGGCGGTAGAAATCGACATTTCAGTAATTTTTGTCTTTTTCCTAAAAACTCGTCAGTTCAGTCGATTTTTGCTAAAAATTTCTTTATTTGTTTAATTTTATGGCTTTGTTTCATAGACAATTCTTTATCTTTCAGAAAAATGTGCCAGAACAACAACAACAATGCTGGTGGTGGTGTGAAGGAGAACGGATGGAATTTCTGGGGGAAAATCTACGAGAACCCGAGTTTGCGGCAACAAAACGAAAAGCGAGCTCAGGTTTGTTTGTGGGTTTTGCGTTAATTGATGCAAATTGGGCTGAATGTTTTGTTTTTGTTTTTGTTTTGTTGTTTTTTTTTGTTTTGTTGTTTGTTTTGTTTGTCAATCTTTGTGTCAATGGCCAATGTTTTGACCTGATATTGGTGATTGACATCTAGAGGCTATAATAGGTTTGGAGTAATCCGTGTCCAATCTAATTCTATCCTCGTTTCTCGGTCGTTTCTTGGCCGAGAAACGTTCTGAAATCTTGTTTACAGTTCTTAAATCTTAAATCAAGAGTAGCACCTTGTTTATGGAAATTAGGCTAAAAAACAATGCTATTCGCTTGTTTGTTTGACGTTTAGCTAGACCGACATTTGATTCTTTTAACATTTAGGGGGGGGGGGTTGAATGGAAAGTGAGCTTGATTTTCTTAACATATACGAAAACTACGAAAATATTGTCTCTACAAGAAGTTGTAAGCATTTTGAGCTTCACTTTTCATTTAAAAGTCCCCTAAGCGTTGCAAGAACTCAAAAATTTTTTGCTCAAACAGAGGCTTGGCGTACATGGAAAGTATTTGAACCGATTGGGATGGTTAATTTGAAAGCTAAATTTCAAAAAAAGCATCAAGCAGATTACAATTGTCGTGTTTAGAACGGTCCCACGATGTCGGAGTTGCTACGCTCGGGTCAGCTGTGCCACGGCGAGTTGTTGTTCACCAACGTGCCGCGGATTGGAAATAATCAACAAGTTGTGGACTCTTGAGTAATTAAGAATTTCCTATTTTTAGTCTCTCGTACGTCAACTGATCAACAGCCAATTACAGCGAGCTGTCTCCATTCTCGACATCACGATCATCAATTGGCGATGGTTTGTTTGAATTTGATCTAACTATTAAAAGCTTAAAACACTTGTACGTAGAATTTTAAGCTGTTAAAGCTATAAAATTTTAAACTTTAATCTATTACATTTAGGAAAGTCCGTTTTTATCGTGCCGAGGACGCGGAGGAGGTGCAGAGGAAATTGGACGGCTTGCGCTACCGGAATCGAGCTATTATGGTCCGTGCAGCTGACGATTTTGATGGGGTAAACTTTGAAGATTTTATTTTAACTGTTGTAATCGGCTTTAGGGACCACAACGACAAAGAAACGGACCTCAACTCGGCTTTGGACCGCCTCGGGGAAGTGGAGGACAAGTTGCTGGCTTTGAAGTTTAAAAATTGAACAAGCTCTGCAAGTTGTAGCCGTTTGGTTGAGTATTTTAAAGGTTTAGGGTAAAGTTACAAGTTGATTAAATCATTTGGTCTAAAGTTGAAGATTTTAGTGTGATCAAGTCTTAAAATGCTTAAAATTTCTCGATCTCTTTTCATACATCATTTTTGTTTAGAGTTCATCAATGACGGTTAAAGAGAGCCCGTCAACCTCGGCGATCATCACTCCAGCGAACTACCCGTTTGGACCGCCCGTTCGCGGCGAAATCATTGACCCGTCGTTCACGCCCATCGAGATGGAGCAAATCGAGAAGTTTAAGGAGTAAATATTCCAGATTATAGCGAAATCTAGTCTATCACTCATTTAGAGACGTGGTGAAAGTGCTGGAGAGTCAACAAAACGGTGTCCTCGTCGATCAACTCGTGACCGAGCTGCGCAAACACAACTACGCCTACTTCATCACTGCTGCGCTAAAAGAATGGGTAATTTTTGATGTTCTTGAGTGGTACGGCTAGTTTGTGGCCAAATTTGCTAGTAGTAAATCATTCGGAATTTGTCATTATTCTTTCTAACTCCATTTAGCCACTCGGCCTCCTCCGGATGTGTCAAGAGGTGCGTCTTATCGGTCCCTATGCTTCGCTGCGTGTTCACGATTTGCATCGACGTTATTTGGCGAAATTTGTTCAAGAAGTAACACTTGAATTTGAATCTAGTTAACGCAATCTCTACTCTAGGGCGTCTCGATAATGACGAAATGCGATTGGGAGCCGATGCCACCGTGCAACATCCGTACCGAGTCTCATATGAAAGCCTACGTCACCGAATTACTCACCGCGTTCGGACCACAGCATTGTAAAGGTTGGTTTAGAGGGCTGATTGTTGGATTTGATGGTCTAAGTGCTTGATTGGACCAAAACTCAGCTTTTAAAGAAATCAGGATCAATTTTAAATGATAAGCCAAGTTGACTCTTAGTTGACATCCCGATTCGTCTCTTATCGCGCACACTGCCCGGTCAATGGCCTGATGGATCGGTGGCACTTTGTCAAATGGTTTTGCATACCTTCTAACAGCTTTCATTATTTGTCTTTTTAGATTGAATCACTTGGCCCGGAATTTCTTCTCTTTCACGATATTCTCTACTTGTCGACAAATGTTCGCCATCGGATGGCTCTATGCGATTGTCTGGTGCCGGTTGGCTTTATGAATTTTGTAAAAAGCTTGGTTCTTTTACAGCATTGAATGAGTAAAACGATCTCATTCAAATAAGGTAGAGATTTGTGATCTTTAAAGGTAAAAGTCCACTAGAGTGACTAACTTATAGTTAGATCAATCTAAGCAATCAAGCTAATCTTTTCTTTTAGTCAAAACAATTCGCGCCGAATGAGCAGCCGCGTTTCTGAGCAAATCTGACATCATCTTCTACAATTCTTTCATCAATCATTTCAATTCGTCTACATCTCGTTAAACGTTAATTACATATTTGGGTTTTAATCTTTCTCCTTTTTTTTGTTGTATCCACGTACATAATATATTAATCATTTTTGTTCGTTTCCTTAACTATCAACGATTCTTTTCCCTTTTTGCATCTCTGCAATGTTTTTTTAATCTGATTGCACATGGCAATTTGTATTATGAAAAGTTTTACTGTGAGTCGATACTAATTTTGGGTAATAGGTAATTACTAATTGTTTATGTTAATGGTCTTGTTAAGCCTAAAACCTTTCCAAAAACTAAAAGTTTCGATAAATTGTTTATAAACGCGTGTATCTGCTTTGTGCTTTGAAGACTAAACACTAAAATGCATCTATTTTTGACGGCAACGAGGCTCAGCTACGTACGGTTTCCGACGAGACGAAACGGTATTTTGCATTTTTGCTAGTTTCAAAATTGTTGCGAGTGTTAGCTCTTGTTCTTTTAACACTTAAACTTTAATTTTGAAACACTACGCTCAATCGATAAGGAACAAGCACCGTTTCTATCCCGTTTCCCATTGTTTTCCTTACTTTCGTCGTGATTGTTTCAACAATTGCTGCAATTTTTATATTTTCAGTGATGAGGACGTTCATCAAGCAACGCGAGCGTCAAGACGACGGTAAAGAAAAACGCGGTGGTGATGGAGAACAACGACGCGGCGGTGGAAATCGACGACGTGGTGATGGCCAACGACGAGGTGGCAAAGAGAGACGTGGAGGTGATCGTGGACGGGAGAAGCAAGACGATCCGCTCGATTATCATGGCGCTCAGCTCAACGGCTACAGGTGGTACACGCCGAAGAATGAGCAGGTTAGTGTTGTTGCTGTAGACTTATTTGTTAGTGAAATGATCAGTTTATCGTTTAAAATTTGTGCTTTCTCAGTACCGCGGTTGTTAAGGCTTGCGAGGTGCTAGCAAAAGCGCCAAATTTGCGATTTTCAACGCATTTTCCTACCGACTCTGATTGACCATTTATATATTTTTTCAGTTTTTCCTTGTCGACGATGTTCGCTATTTCACCGCCTTCATCGGATCTGAAGATGGCATAAGATCGATAGAGAGTAAAAAGCCCAATCGGGGACACAAAAATGACTGTTTTTTGGGTCTATATAGGTATTTAAACGTGTTTTCTAAATGAAAACAGCGAGAACTAAAATTGTGAAGCAGAAAACTGAAAAAAAGTTAATTAGAAGTTGGGAAAAAGTGGTTTGTCATAGTGATTTTCATAAGCACAAATTTGGCGCAAATGAAATTAACGCAAAAAACGAGGCGATTTTGCTAGCACCTAAGGTTTGCGGTTTATTCTCCTAACCGACTTTAGACTCGGTTTTGACCACATTTTTTTTGTTTGCATACTGGATTGGCTGCCGGCTAGTGTTACTGTGTTTAGTAGGCTTTATTTGACAGTTTTGCCTCAAAATTTTCATAGTTAATATCTAGAAAACGATCTAGATGGAAAAGTTTAGATGAAAAAAGAAAAACACGAAGTTGGTCATCTACGATACTGGGAAAGCACTAAATTTCCAAAGATTAAATTGTTTCTTTACACTAGTTGGCTGCAAATTTAGCTGTAAGTGTTGTTCTAGACTTTCACCAAGAAGCCGGATGTCATTCGCAAGATGCCTTTCGTGAGACTAGGTGGTTCTCTACTCATTTTCTCTAGTAACAAACATTTTTAGTTGAAATCCCATCGTCTTCTATGCGCCAAGTGAGACGAATGGTGGAACTCACCTACAGAATGCAAAAATACCTAGATGACGTGTCGAAGGTAGTAGAATTTCTGGAATTCTTTTGTTTTTATTTGCCGTTTAGATTGAGGCAAAACAGTTGCCGTTGCGGGGTTTACACAAAACGTTAGACAAATGGCACATTGCACGAGCGTACGACTGGGAACCCTTTCCCGTGTTTCATGTCATCGAAGCGTATGTTATGGTGGGTAATTGATTATCGCGAAACAATTATCGTTGCTTTAGGTGCTTACAAAGTTGATCACGTTGTCATTTTACTCGTTCGCGGGTCTGCATGGTTACTGCGTGCCAAGTCTATCACGTCGTTTCATTGGGGAGCCGGCAAAGGTTGGATAAGCATTAGACCTGGGAATGGAGTAATATTTGGCTAGATTTTCTCAATTCACTAGTATTACTGTGTTTAGTAGGCTTGATTTTACCGTTTTGCCTCAAAATTTTCGTTCGTAGGCAATCTTGACGTGAATTGGCACATGGTAACCTGCTAACAAACCCTTATTGCTCAAAAGAGTCGTAAAAGCTTTTGAATGGACAAATCTAGTAGATAGTATTAGATGTCAACTGCAAACTGTATCAAGCTTAAGAATTCATCATTGCCCTAATGCATTTGAAATTTAGAGCTATCTGTGGCGTGATCACGAGATCGCGTTGCAGTATGGAAAAGCGATGGACACAATGCTGAAGCGCTTGAAGATGGATGACGAACCGAAGGCGCAAAAGAAGGACGACGAACCGAAGGCGCAAAAGAAGGACGACGAGACGAAGGAGCAAAAGAAGGACGACGAACCGAAGGAGCAAAAGAAGGACGACGAAACGAAGGAGCAAAAGAAGGACAACTCAAGAAAGAAGTTCAACGATCCAAAAGCATTGGTGATGGAAGATGTAAAGAGTTTGCTTGAAGAATTCTCGAAAATGGTCAAGTGGATCGAAAAGAAAACGCAGCTAATCAAAAAGGGAGATGACGCGAAATTGGAAGAGGAAGAGGATTGCTTCTCGATGTTGACTACTTGGAACGAGTATACACTCTTCAAGCCGAAGGTTTTTCACTTTATTTTGAAAGCTTTTTATTTATTGTTATTTATTAGCAATTAACTGTTATCTATTTAGCTGAGCGATCAACAACTCGAAAAACTCTTTAACAAAGCTTGCTCGGAGCTTAGTGACTTCGCTTCGCTGGGAACCTTCATCGACGACAACTTGGAACACTTTGCAAACATGGCTCACTTTCAACAGTATTCTTTGGCCTTTGACTTTACTTTTTTCGTTACCAGATTGCTTCCACTGATGGTGAACACGCTGGCAACTTTTGAATTTGGCGCAAAATCCGTGGCAATTTGTCGAAAGATCTTCTTTGCGCTTTTCCCCAAGTTAAACGATGGGGATTTCTTGGCTTTAGTCGAACAGGTATATTTTAAACATTTATTTTGATTAAATATCTTTATTTACAGGCCAAACAATTCAATCCAAGGCAAGAAACGTTGGCACGCTTGATACCACATGGAGGAGGAGCAAAATATATGATTGAATGCAAGGACAATAAAGATAACGTAAAGAAGATCGATTGATTGAATAAAATAGTGCTTTTAGCAAGTGGCAGCCCTTCACTTCAATTTGATGCTTGTCCCGTGGGAAACCGTGCTTGAGAACTGCATTCGTGGTGTTTACAATTCGATCACCGAGACGGCATCGATTCAGGTTTTGTTTTTGTGAACCTATTCTTCAGCAGAATGTTTCAGGTTTTCATTCGTCTCCTTCCGTGTGTTCGAGAGTTTCTGCTTGCTGAAGAGGAGGGAAAACAACCGTCGCGTTTGGTCTCAATGCTTAAGCGTCTCAATCCGGAAACGGATAGAGCTGTCGAGCGAATGGAGGCTGTACTTGTTGGTGAGTTTTTCTAGGATACCTTTTTAATCTTTTTGCTTTTCAGCGCTCGTTGACGCCGAGATTATGGACTACGAGTATTTCGTCTTTGGCTTTCTCTTCCCTGCAAGCTCATCTGGGTTTGTCCGTTGGCCCTTTTCCACTGGAACTCTTCATTTTAGACCGCTTGCCTATCGCAAATTGGCTCTGGACGTCATATTTTTGATGGTGTCCAGCAAAGGTGTGAGGTTCAACTTTGCGGGTGGTAAATTTGCAATTTCAGTGATAAAGCATTTTAATTTGTAGATGAGAAATCGGGTGGATCGATCCCATGGTCGAAATGTGTGACGACTACTCTGGATCTTTATGCTGCGCCAAACCCAGCTGCAGCAACCGCTGGACAACGATATCCGTTTTTGAGTGGGTTCCCTTGGTACTTGGGAACCTGGGGGCGTAGACTCACTGGCTGTAGTTCTAAAGCTAACGCTGGGAAAACGATTGCATTTCAAATTTATTTTCTTCAGAGAAACTTCTACACCAGCTTGATGTTCGAGGAGCTTTGGGTGCAAAAGTTGAAGATGTCATCGCGATCGTGAAATATCTTCGCGAAAAGAACGCCACAAAAGCTTGGGTCTACATTTTGGGCAAAGACTTGATGAAGGAAACAATCGGAAAACATGCAGAAGATCAGGTGAAGCTTTTTGGACTTGAAAGTTGATCAACGATTTTTTAGCTGCCATGGAAAGAGTTGAAAGAAGAGGAATTCGATGAAATATTTACTCTTGTCGGTGCATGGCCGGATAACACTGGAATGACGTTGTTGAAGCAAATTATGGAAGGTTTGTAGTAGATTTTGATTGCTTTCGTAATGAAACTTTCTAGTTCAAAGCCATTTGGACCATTCCGCACAATTGCTGGCACATCTCAAGGCGTGGATTGATGAGAATCGTGGAAAGTTCAAGCCTGGAGACGCAAGGATCTTCCATCTTGACGTGTACATGAAAGAGGTAAACTTTGGAGTAATTTAAGCAGTGATATGGGACTAACTAGATTTGTTATCAGATTGGTTTAGGTTGAAAGATTATAAATTAAGATATGTTCTTTTTAGGAGACGTTTGTTCCAGTGCAACCGAAGCCTGAAGCATCGCCACAAAAGATCCTGGAAATTGCACAAGTTGATGTGAAAGAAGAAGAGACCGAAGAAATGCCGACCAACAACCCAAGTGCTGAAGTCGACGATGGAAACAAGACGGAGCAGCAAATCGCCACCAAGCCGACAAACAGTGCTGAAGAAATGACGGTGAGGAGCGAGGAAAGCATTCAAATGGACAACACACAACAGACGGGCGAAGATGGAAATGTAGAGGAAACAGATGGCGAAAAGGAGAGCGGCCACGTGGAGGAATACGAGGAGGATGAACTGATCGAGGCACCAAGAGGAGGAGGCTATCATTATGAAAGCGGGTTCAGTTTCGGTTCACCACCAAACTCTGCCTCTACTTCTAACAGGTTATAAAAGTTTTGTTGAGATTTTACATGTTTTATTGTACCTTAGAGCTCCATCGATCACTCTTACCAACGAGCCGCCAACGAAAATCGACTCGACTCTCAATTTCTCCCAAGACAAGCCATCTTCTGCTGCGGGAAATGCGGTAAATTTCGAGAAACTTTCCAAGCTTTTACATTGCTTTTAGAAGGAACCACCAGCGGGTGGGCGAAATGACAACTATGGTTGCGTGCTGGCGCCGGTTTTGAGTGTAATTTTGCCGTTTTTTTTCTAAAGATTTGTCAATTTTAGGATTCTGATATTGCTTGGGAAATGGCTCCCTCGAGAAATTTCAGCAGACGTGTGGAGAAAAGCTCGCAGAACGGCCGCAAGAGCAAGTCTCAGGTAAAGGAGATTGCCTTTTGGAGATTTAATAAAGTTAAATTTAGAGCTCAAAGCGTTCTCATCACGCCAACAAACCCAATAACAAGAAGAAAGAGGGAAAATGAACGGGATGTTTTGGAATGTTTTTTTTTATTTCTTCTCTAAGACGAAAATGTTCTCATGTTATTTATTTGCACTAATCATTGTTATTTACACTTGTTGTTAGAAATTTTTGTTTGGTAATCTCTTTTGGTGTTTCGTTTTTCTTTGGGTATTTACGTATGGGTGTTCAATAAAAGTTCCATTTGTCGCGTTTGAGGTGTGAAGAAGTTAAGGTATGTAATATCTAGAATTATCTATTTAATATGCTACTAGATAAAGTATTGGGGTAGAGATGGCTTGCTTTCGTTGTTGGAATAAAGGTTGCTTGGTTTGTATATTCATGTGGTATTTCTAGAGTAAAATATTGGTCCCAGTCGGTTGTTCGAATGTAAAAGTGTGATTTTGACAGTAGCTTTTCTATGTGATGAAGTCATAAAGGTTAACCCCTTTTTGAATCCCTTAGAATACAAGCAATTCCCAAGTCTGAACGATTTATACGAAACAAAAATTCGCTAAAGCTTTGATTTGCTGTTTGTCTCTTGTAGATATAGCTCTTTTAACTTTCTCCTCAACATTTTCCCGGATGGGGTTCGTGGAATCGCATCGATGAAAGTGATCCCGCCGTCCAAACGTTTATAGCGGGCAACGCGCTCTGAAGGAAATATGGGTTACTGTAGTTTTGTAAGTCAGGTAATCAGTGAAAAAACCTACCATTGACGTATCGATGAATCTCCTCTTCGGTCGGGTGATTGCCGCGACGAACGATAAATGCCCGGGGGACCTGGACGGGAAAAATGATATCAGATATCTTTATTCACCTCTCCATTCCTCTCATCGGGAATCCCAGTGACCGCACAATCCAAAACGCCATCGATGCCCAGTATGAGATCCTCCAGTTCGGCTGGGGCCACCTGAATGGGTTACGGTAGAAAATGTGACTACCGTATTGATATATCAAAACCATAGTATCAATCAGTTACAGTACCCGAATGCTCATTTCACTCACCTGTGCTCCTTTCACCTTAATCAACTCTTTCGTCCGCTCACACACGTACAAATATCCATCTTGATCATAGTAGACGAGATCACCTAATGGATATTTTGATATATAATATAGATAGATAAATATCTGAATAATTAAAAACATCTAGATGTCTAGATATATCCAATTCTAACCTGTGATCAAGAATCCCTCCTCGTCAAATGTTTTCGCCGTGTCGTCCGGGCGATTCTTGTAGCTGAAATCACCGAAATTCTTAAAGAAGGGTTTTCTATTGAAGATACGTAGATAGATTTAATAGATCTGTCGTAGCCGATTCAATTCTTCATCAATCAATGCAATCTTCTGAAAAACTTAATCGGTCACGGCATCGTAACTGACCCTTTCATCACAACCGGCCCTTTCACTCTCAGCTCGCCCACCTCCATCGGACCACACTCTTTGCCGGTTTCTTGGTTAAGCACCTGAAATTTCAAAGAATATTGACAATTGGCAATTATCAGGCAAAACACGGTAGCTTTTTCCGGAGCACAACTTTTAGAAAAGATCTCTAAGATTTGCTGACCTTCATCTCCATATTTGCTTTCAATTTCCCCATTGCTTCCTCGGGTTGACCGAGACGCGAGAAGTGACTCCCCAGCGACATCTCCGTCATTCCGTAGCCTGCAAATTGGGGCTGGTTATCCAAAATGATACAGTAAGATACAGTTTTTTTACCTTGTCGAATCGAAATCGGTAGTCGACTCTTTATCTTGTCGATCACATTCTTGCCCAGTGGAGCCGAGCCACAACTGATTGACTTTACAGATGAAAGATCGAATTGATCGAGGAGGGGTGAGGAGGCCAGTTGGGTGATGATCGCTGGTACAAGGATCAGCACGGTCACCTGGCAAGAGACTGCTCAATTTACTGTATATTTGGCAAGTTTGTATCTCTGTCTATCTACTTTGGGATAGTCATAGACAGATCTAAACTTGAGCTAACGATTAGAAATCCTTGATCAGATGATTGTGCAGTCAAGCATGTTCGCGGTTGTTTGAAACGAAAAAAAAACAATCACCTTGAATTTCTCGGTGTGCTCAAGTACAGATCGGAGATTGTACTTGCGGAACATCATCTGCTGAACGCCCGAATATGCAAGGCTCACCATACTGGAAAATGGGCATATTGAAGCGTATGGCTACTGTAAAATCCAGAGTTGACATTTTTAAGATCAAAAATTGAAAACTTGAAAGTAATGAGCATTTTAAGCGCCTCATTGGCCACTGTGACATCCAGAATTAGCATTACAACTCACGTGAACATGCCCAGCGCGTGATATTGGGGCAAAACAGCTAACGATGTCCTTCCGATGACTACTTCCAAGCCGACGCCCATCGCTTCCCATGTGCGGCGCTCATTGCTGAAAATGCTCATTAGTGAACCTGTTTTTCTACGTACTCGAGGAAAATATCCAAAGTATAGGCGAGATTGAGATGCGTGATCATCACACCCTTTGGCGCGCCCGTTGTACCAGAACTAGAAAGAAATGGGTTTATTTTGAAACCAGTAAACCGGTTAATTGGCTTGCTGTAGTGCTTGAAACAATTTGAACAGGGGATCGAACAGGGGATCAAAATTTGGCTCAAGCCCAGGCCAAACCTGTATGGCAATGTGATTAGATCATTGTCCATATCAATCGAAATCGTTCGTGGATCGAAGTCGGGAGATGTTGAGAGAATTTTGTGGAATGCGGTGACGTTTGGAGGGAGGGGAGAAGGGGAGCTTTGAATTGAGATGATCTCCTGAAATTCGGGTACAATACAATAGCTGTAGGAGTCTTTTGATGAGAAATAGGCATTATCTTCTTACCCTGATCCTAGGCGCATCTTTGACCGCTTGTAACACTTTTTCAAGATACGTATCTTCGGTGATCACAACGACAGCCTCTGAGTCGACTAGTTGGTGGTGGATCTCGTCTAGAAATCGTCGTTTACATGGCTACCGTACCGCGTAAGATCGAAATACTAGCTAGCTATGTACGGTGGATAACTTGGACTCTTTAAAACGAACAATGCGTGAATTGGACAGACGCCGCCGAGGCAGTCATCCCGGCCGTCCACGCGCCAACCATCGACACAGCGAACTCCCAACAGTTTGGCAAAACGAAGGCGCATACCTAGAAAAATTTATCTACTGTATCTACCGTAATATTGAGGGACGGTAGGCAGGGTGTTCTGGGCCAGCACAGGCCCTGAAACCTGCTTCAATCTGCTTTTTCTCTAGAAATGCCCCACTCCGACTACGGAAATGCTGCCTCGAATTCTTGTGAGGCTTTTCCCGGCCTGGCCTGGCTTGCCTTCTACGAACCTCTCCTTTCTTGTAACCATTTGAGTGAAAATAGTTGCCGACACGGAGAATGTTCTCCTTGAAACGGCCGTATGTGAGAAAATCCGAGTGATCGGCTGAGTTTCGCTGAAAATTTTGTGAACTCTCTCTGTCTGGTGCACTCGATTCCTCGAGAAGCGGAAAGGGTTGTGATTTTAAGTAAAAAAATACATTTACAGATCTTTAAAAAATCTTACAAACGCGACCAAATCGGGCATTTCTCTTTCGAAGTAGGCACATTTCTCGAGTAGAGTCAAGTGGATGGGTTGTTGAGGGCGAGGGATGTGCAGATCAGAACGAAGGACCATTTTGTTTCGATTAATCTAATGAGAGATTTCAAGTGGTAGGAGTCGATCGAATTGTTTCACTTCAATCTACACTAAATTTCTCTCCTTTTCCAAGTGATAAGAATTTCTCTGAAATAGAAGTTTGATCCTTTTTTGGAAGTGTCTTCTTCTTGTTTATTGATTGAAAATCGCCTCTTTTTTTTGCCACTTTTCAATCATTTTGTGGCAAAAAAGAGCCGATTTTCAATCATTCTTTTCTGATTGCTGGTTAATGCGAAAAATATGTGTTATATCTCAAAAAAAACACCCATTCTCTCTACTTTAATTTGATACCAAAGCGAGCGGAAACAAACGTACTGGTGTCGAGTTAAAAGCGTTTGTTTGAGGGTAAACTTAGACGACGCTCCTATAAGGGGCCGCACATCGGCGCGAAATAAGGCAAAAATGCGTTTTCTATCGGATTTTTCTGGGAGTACCTTTTTTAGATGTGGAAAATTGTGCTGATTCCGAATCTGAAGGAATTTTTCAAATCCCTCTGACAGAAATTTTTAAAATTTAGTTTTAGCGGTTTTTTGGTCATTTTGTATGGGAAATTTTGTGGTACCCTGCAGTTTGGGGCTCGTAACTCGACAACGAGGGTCTAGAACCAAAAACGAAGGGATAAGTTTTATTCTAGAGACTCTTACGAACATTTTGATGCAAAAATTTCATTTACGGTATTTCAAATAATTCTAAAACTAAAAAATCTTACCTCAACCCAAGAGGAAAAACAATAAAAAAATAAAATAATAACAAATTTTGTCTTGAAACAATCTTCTTTCGAGATAAATTGAGTAGTTATAATCTAAATTCTTTTTCAAAACAAAAGACTTCGTAAAAAAACCCTGTAAAGAGTAAAGAGTAGTGGCTATTCTGACTGGAACTAGTGATCAAGTAGTTGCCCATTTTTTTTAGGACATCTTTCATCTGAAAAAATTAAAATAGAAAATTTAAAGTGTTTCTTGATATTTCTAGCTTGCACTTTGATAAAATCATTAATCACTTTCATTAAAACTTTTACTTTTAACCAAAGAAGCACTACGCAAACATTCACTAAAAGATTTACCAATTAGCAGCTCGAGATAAATTCTGCTATTTTGAGCGTAACCAAATCAACGATTTCCTTTTTTGTACAAAACTCAGAAATGGGCAAATTTTTGTTTGGTTTTTTAGCAAATCTAAAGAAGAAAAAAAAGCTTACCTGGGTTTAGGTGAACGAACATTTAAATTTGTTGTACTCTCGTTTCTTTTGTACGATACTCCACAAAGTGTGCAAATGTCTCTCATCAGTCCTTCAAAATTGCCAAACGATTGAGATCTTATGTTGGGCTTTAAAATATGCAATTTCATTAGAAAAAGCACCAATTGCTAAGAATAAACATTACTTGGGGAGCGAATTGGTAGAGTAAACCCGTCAGTGACGTTGTTCCTTGTGTCGAAGATGTTCTCTCTTTGATGCGACGCCTTAAAAATAATAAATTAACGGAAATAAAACATAAAGTCAAAGATCAAATGTATAAAAATAAAAAAATCTTTAACATTGGAAAAAACGTGACTTGAGTTACAATTTGCGGCGACTCGGCTCAAGCTCGAGTCCGAGTCCGAGTCCGAGTCCGAGCCCGAATCGAGCATGAGGAGATCAAGCTGAAAGGTCAACCACTAGAAGAAGTCACCTCCAACACCTACCTCGGAAGAAGCATCAACATGGAGGGATACCTAAGACCAGAAGACTTAGCTCTCGGGACTCAGAGGTCAGTGGAAGTGATCGAGAGCAAAAGACTCAGATGGGCCTGCCACGTAGCCAGAAGAACAGACGACAGATCGACGATACGGATCACAGAGTGGCCACCACGAGACCAGAAGAGGCCCATCGGAAGACCAGCAACGAGGTGGAGCACAAGAGTGGCAAAGAGGCTCAGAGAAAGGATGGCTAGAGTGCAACCACCACCAGCACAAGCAAGACTTCGAACCAGGAACAACCAAGATCGAAAACACTGGATGACAATAGCAAGGGATAGAGAAATGTGGAAGCAGCTTGTGTTCTGCGCAAAATAGGAACACCTAAGTACGATAACAGATAAAAATAAAATCTGTCATATGTTCTGAAGAAGTGAAATAGATATTAAATTATATTCAACAATCAACATTCATAGTAAAGAAATTTAATACAAAATTTATTAACACCAATAAAGAAACTAACAAATAAATGGGCCTCAACAACATTAATTTTAAGACGGTGTCGTTGCCAAAGTTGTTAAGAGGCCAGGTCTCATGAAGAGCACCTAAAAATCAAAAAACTATATAAAACAGATATATCGGATAACAAATTATAAAAAAATATATGTTGATCTGACCTCAGATAAAACTGCAAAAGTAAACGGCACACTATACTTTATAGTAGCATAAGAAACAAGTGCTTACATTTAGTGAAACCCACTTTCAAACTTCACAAAGCGCGCGGTATGCCGCAGAGCCCATCAATTTGCCCTTCTTACTAACAACCTTCCAAAAATCATGTAAAAGTCCACTTCTGGTCCGTCGATGTAACGCTCAGTACGGGGATTTCTTTCCTAAAAACAAATGTAAATTCAAAAAGAGAATGTTCAACCTGAAGCCTCACACCCTTTACCAGCAGGTGTTCCCAATTACGTGGACACTTTGCTCGTTGAGGCATCTTTAACCGTCAATTCTCTTGCTTGATTGTCCCCAGGGTGCGCAAAACGGTACACCACCCCTTGAAAAGTGACCTCGAAATGTTGAGCAGTGACATTCATCGCCGTATACTCCGAATCGAAGAATAAACGCACTGGTGGATCAAGCAAAGCACTAAAATAAAAATTTAATGATAGATCTATCTATTAATTTGATAATTAATGAGCAGAATGCGAATATCTAATATTAATGTTGAACTCCTAATACCGTAGTGCAAACGAAAATCAAATCAGAGGGACTAACGTGTTGGTATCGTCGTCATCTTCCTCGAACGAATCATCTTCAGAGTCGGTCGCAGTCTCGCAAGTGGGAATTTTCAACTAAACTTGGATTTTTTGATAAATGATAAAATTAATCAGATGTAGGAAAAATTGGTTAATAATTAAACCTTCGATCTAGGTGCCAGATTAAGGCGATTATTTTAAGCCGAATCATCTTGAAATTTTGACCATACACAAACAATTTAAAGCATGAGCAAAATCACAAAAAAGGGAGAAAACCTGCTCATAATTGGCCGCCGTTTTCAGTTTGGCGACAAAATCGCTCAAGATTCCCAGGTCCTCGAATTGCGCACAAAAATCCACCACATGAAGGCCAAACCAAGCTTCATTCGCATCTGTTGACTGAAAATCAGACCAATAAATGAGTTAAATATGCCTTAATTTTTAGAAATAATGATCATCCTGTAATAGAAAATAACTGAACAAAGTTTTCCCAGATCAAACAGGGATTTCATTCGAAAAAGTAGAAACCCTACCTGTAGAACCATTTCAGGAAAGGCTGAATCTTAGGAACCGTTTGAAAATTCCGATTCTTGCCATTTAGAGGGTAAGCGAAACGGAAAGGTTTCGAGTCATGAACGAGCTCCAAATATTCGAGTTCCACCTTGAAAGAATCGAAATCTTTGAAGAAACACAGTTGAGGTCGCATCTTGATAGCTCTGAAAAAATAGATCTAGAGAAACATAACTACTAAAAAGATAAAAAAGGGTCAAGCAACACGAATTATCTCTTAATTATAGACGTTTTACTTCACAGACACGTAGATTAATCAGGTATTTTAAGATAGAGGCATGAAATAATGATGAATAATTAAGCGAATGTCTTCATAAATTCAACGCAGAAAAAAACACAGGCAAAAATACAAGGATTTATCGAGATTCAAACACACTTATACTAGATTTAATTATTAGGTTGTTTCATAAAAAGCGTCAATCCTATGAAGAAAGAAAAAGAGGACAACGAATAATGAAATCACAGGTTGTGATGAGGATCAACCTGTCATATGTTCTGAAGAAACGAAATAGATATTCAATTATATTCAACAATCAACATTCATAGTAAGGGTATTTAGTACAAAATTTATTAACATCAATAAAGAAACTAACAAATAAATGGGCCTCAACAACATTAATTTGAAGACGATGTCTTTGTCAAAGTTGTTAAAGAGGCCAGGCCTCGTGACGAGCACCTAAAAATCAAAAAGCTTGTACTTGCCTTTCTGCGCAGCAAAATTTGCTAGTTGTACTTGCCTATGCAAATTTACAATACCCATTTTATGGAATCAATTCAAAGCTCACCTTATTATTTGCTTCCTCCGAAACGGTTTTCAAGATTTGCTGGCGGCTCTAATCTTTCTCAGCTTCAAATAGCCCGGATCTCCACGCAAAGTCTCTCCAAACTAAAAGAGAAACTACAAGAAACTTTGATAAATCCCAACCAATTTAGCCGATTCTGCCTCTCCCTCAGCTTGCACAATCATCTCTTGTCTGTTTTGTTTGGGGCTCTATCGACCAAGAACGAAGCACGTTGAGCCTCTTGAGCGGCTACCTTAAAGTAGGTGATGATAAACTGATTGGCAAGAAAGGTAACACCTGTTTAGCTTCAACCGCAGCCGCGTATTGAGGCGAGAAGGCGAGCGCGGTCAAAGAGACGTCATCTAAAATATACAATTGACTGGAACTAGTTAATAAACGCACCAAGAATATTGAAGTCGAGAGCTCGCTCGATCAGTCGCTTTCTGATTAGCAGTGACACTTGTTGACGTTGAGTGATCAATTGGAAAGCGTTGAACTTGGCGACCACCGATTTCAACACCTAAAACATTAAAACGTTACTCATTAAAACACCGAAGGAAATAATAGTTTGTGTCTAAAAGATGGAATCTTTTAGGTTCGGCTCGGCTAGCCGTTGGTGATTGAATCACTAGCGGCTAGCCAGCAATTTGGCTACTGAAGTTACCTCCCGAGGTGTTAAAATATGTGGTCCTATTAACCTAACTTTTTCATTTGCATTCAGCAAAATTTCACGGTATGTTTCATTCCAAGCCACTGTTGAACAAATTCCCGTATCTTTCCTTTTTACAGACGCAGTAATGCTAATGAAAGATCTAACGAAACGATATTAATTTAGTCTGTCATACGTTCTGAAGAAATGAAATAGATATTCAATTATATTCAACAATGAACATTCATAGTAAAGATATTTAATACAAAATTTATTAACATCAATAAAGAAAACAACAAATAAATGGGCCTCAACAACATTAATTTGAAGACGATGTCTTTGCCAAAGTTGTTAAAGAGGCCAGGCCTCGTGAAGAGCTCCTAAAATCAAAAAACTATATAAAACAGATATATCGGATAATAAGTTATAAAAAAAATATGTTGATCTGACGCAATTTGAAGTATTATATAAATATCTTGCTTATTAACAAGATAAATCGGCTACACATTCATATACTTTATAAATTAGCTGTAAGATAAACAAGTGCTTACATTTAGTATGAGGAAAAACTCCACCTTTCAAACTTCAACATAGCGCACGGTATGCCGCAGAGCCCCCATCAAGTCGGACTTCTTACTAGCGTTCTTACCAAAAATCCACTTCTGGTCCGATGATGTAACGTTGAGTAAGGGGACTTCTTTCCTAAAAACAAATGTAAATTCAAAAAGAGAATGTTCAACCTGAAGCGTCACACCCTTTACCAGCAGGTGTTCCCAATTACGTGTAGTTTTTGCTCGATTCGGCACGTTGAAGCACGTGAATTCTCTTGCTTGATTGCCCCCAGGGTGCGCAAAACGGTACACCACCCCTTGAAAAGTGATCTCGAAATGTTGAGCAGTGACGTTCATCGCCGTATATTCCGAATCGAAGAATAAACGCACTGGTGGAGCAACGTTCCGAAACGCCATGTTAGCACTAGAATAAAAAGTATAATGATAGATGTATCTATTAATTTGATAATTAATTAGGAAAATGCGAATATCTAATGAAAATTCATAATAAAGCATCAAGAAATTAAAAGAACAAATGATATTTTTTTAAGTGAACTATTGGGTTGATGCATAATTATCCGGACTTCTTTTTTTTTTTTTTTTTTTTTTTTTTTAAATATTCGTTATTCTTTGGTGACAAAATGCGTGTCGACAATCATATCCATCTTCGCCATATCCTTTACCACTTCAAAAGGGTTGGTCTGCCGCGAGTCGTTTCGCGATCCCAAGGCGGGGAGCCCCAACGGACTACCACGTCCGACGCCAAAATGGAAACAAATAGATCTACAACGATTTGGATGACTTGATAGCGTGTTAAAGCGGGGTTCCCCAAAGATCGTTTATTCTTCGCCGTGGAATCGACGTCTCCAAGATGCGGGGGGTATGCCCAGAATAATCAATTAAACATATTTTTCTAACTATTTATTTTTTTTGTTAATATCATTTATAGAGATAATTTGATCAACCCAATAGTTATACATTTGAAAGTGTCCCCCTACTTTCAAAATCGTTTTTTTTATATTACACAAAACAAACACAAAGTATTGATGAAGAGCAAGCAACCAAAATTAGGTACTTTACCTTCGTTGTTCACAGGTTAGCGAGTTTTATTGGTGCTAAAGATTAGATGATTGTTGTAATAATGAGCCTCAGACTATAGTAACTGATTTTGCTATTTAAGAATGGTCTTTACAAATCCTACTAAATAGGTGCTCCTTGATTTGCAAATTTTGTAAAGTTAAAGGATAAACTTTTACATATTAACTTTTACCTATTAGACTTTTAGCCATAATTAAACAGCTAATGTTTTATAACTGGTTCTTTAAATATTCCTTTTAATTGTTCTGCTTTAGTTGAGGCCAGTCACCGCGCGATCATGTTCAACCGAATTCAACGGAGTGGGCAATGAGATCTACAAAGAGGGCCCTCACTTCTGAGCTCTCTGGTTCCAATATCCGATCATTTATAACATTCGAGCACGACCAAATCAGGTACGGCAATTTAGGAGCTTTAAAAATTCACCAAAACGTAGTAAAGACGATGCTTAGTTGCTTGCTTAGTCAAGTTTCGGAGCAAAAAAAGCTCTGCAACTACCATTTACTATGTTTTGCTAACAATTGAGCTTTATTTCATTGTATCGAATGTCTTGTTCAATCATTCAACCAACTTTTCCTCTCTAGGTTCGCTCACCAACCGGCTCCAAGGACTTACAGATGGTGAACATAGGTCTTCGTGTGCTCTCGCGACCCGATCCGAATCATTTGCAGAAGATCTACCGAACGCTTGGACAAAATTGGGAAGAACGCGTCCTCCCATCAATTTGCAATGAGGTGAGTCGGGGTTTTGATGCAAGAAGGGATTGAATTGAGTCTCCGCTTGTATTAGACCGTCTTTAGCGACGAAACACGAAGTTCTAATTTGCAAATTTGATTTAACTTTCTGTTTTAGGTGTTGAAATCGTTGGTCGCCAAGTTCTTGGTGCGTTTATTATCTAGTTCCAGTCAATTGAATATTTTAGATGACGTCTCTTTGACCGAGCTCGCCTTCTCGCCTCAATACGCGGCTGCGGTTGAAGCTAAACAAGTGTTACCTTTCTTGCAATCTTTATGATTTTGGTTTCATTTTGTTGCACTTATTGAGATCCACAAAATGAAACCAAAATCATAAAGATTGTGTCACTTAGAAAAAAGTTATGGCGAGTTGCGCAAATAAAATGGCGGAAATTAGCCTACCCCGAGGCCCATTTGTTTGTTGGCTTCTTTATTGATGTTAATAAATTTTGTACTAAATACCCTTACTATGAATGTTGATTGTTGAATATAATTGAATATCTATTTCGTTTCTTCAGAACATATGACAGGTTGATCCTCATCACAACCTGTGATTTCATTATTCGTTGTCCTCTTTTTCTTTCTTCATAGGATTGACGCTTTTTATGAAACAACCTAATAATTAAATCTAATAGGTTGATGCATAAGTCTTTTCGTTTTTTTCGTACTTCTGTTAAAAAGTAACAAATTCACCAATTAATCTATAGTTTGCTCTATAAAAAAAGTGTTTTTTTGTTCAATTTGCATCTTTTTAAATGAATTTCGGTTCACTTTCAAGCAAATTCGAGAGTGAAAAACGCCTTTTTCGTAAAAATCTATAAAAAACTCTACGGAAAAATTGGCTGAATGAATTTCTCTGAAATTTTGGCGAAATATCAAACTTTTTTTTCTCTATCTTTTATCTATTGACACGAAGATAGGTTTTCTTTAGCTAAGGTGTCTAAACCGCATCATCGAGTTAGCCCTTTTTGACTACCCGACTTCATACTCTCAAGAAAATCCAGGCATTCAATATTTTTAAACCCGTTTTAATGTTATTTTGCAGAAAAATAATTGCTTTTTCTAATGAAATCAACCGTAGTTTAATTGGTGCATTTGTTGGCTTGAAACGGCAGACGAAAAGGAACAAAAACACCTATGCATCAACCTATTACTTGAGAAAAGTTGACAAAAGTTGCATCAACCTAATAGTATACGTGTGTATGAATCTAGATAAATCCTTGTATTTTTGCCTCTGTTTTTTTCTAGTTTGAATCTATGAAGACATACACTTAATTATTCATCATTATTTCATGCCTCTATCTTAAAATGCCTGATTAATCTCCGTGTCTGTGAAGAGATGATTCGTGTTGCTTGATTCTTTTTTATCGTTTTAGTAGTTATGTTTCTCTAGATCTATTTTTTCAGAGCTATCAAGATGCGACCTCAACTGTGTTTCTTCAAAGATTTCGATTCTTTCAAGATGGATCTCGAATATTTGGAGCTCGTTCATGACTCGAAACCTTTCCGTTTCGCTTACCCTCTAAATGGCAAGAATCGGAACTTTTTTGTCAAGACGGTTCCTAAGATTCAGCTTACTTTACCTGAAATGGTTCTACAGGTAGGGTTTTCTTACTTTTTTCGAAATGAAATCCCTGTTTGATCTGGGAAAACTTTCTTCAGTTATTTTCTATTACAGGATGATCATTATTTCTAAAAATTAAGGCATATTTAACTCATTTATTGGTCTGATTTTCAGTCAACAGATGCCAATGACGCTTGGTTTGGCCTTCATGTGGTGGATTTTTGTGCGCAATTCGAGGACCTGGGAATCTTGAGCGATTTTGTCACCAAACTGAAAACGGCGGCCATTTATGAGCAGGTTTTCTTTTCCTTTTTTGTGATTTTGCTCATGCTTTAAATTGTTTTAGAGTATTGAGTAGATACCTTATTTACCTTTGTGTATGGCCAAAATTTCAAGATGATTCGGCTTAAAATAATCTCCTTAATCTGGCACCTAGATCGAAGATTTAGTTATTAACCAAATTTTCCTACATCTGATTAATTTTATCATTTATCAAAAAATCCAAGTTTAGTTGAAAATTCCCACTTGTGAGACTGCGACCGACTCTGAAGATGATTCGTTCGAGGAAGATGACGACGATACCAACACGTTAGTCCCTCTGATTTGATTTTCGTTTGCACTACGGTATTAGGAGTTCAACATTAATATTAGGTATTCGCATTTTGCTCATTAATTATCAAATTAATAGATGGATCTATCATTAAATTTTTATTTTAGTGCTTTGCTTGATCCACCAGTGCGTTTATTCTTTGATTCGGAGTATACAGCGATGAATGTCACTGCTCAACATTTCGAGATCACTTTTCAAGGGGTGGTGTTCCGTTTTGCGCACCCTCGGGGCAATCAAGCAAGAGAATGAACCGTAAAGATGCTTGAACGAGCAAAAACTCCACGTCATTGGGAACACCTGCTGGTAAAGGGTGTGAAGCTTGAGGTTGAACATTCTGAACATTTTGAATTTATATTTGTTTTTAATTCAACATTTGTTTTTAGGAAAGAAATCCCCGTACTGAACGTTACATCGACGGACCAGAAGTGGACTTTTACATGATTTTTGAAGGTTGTTATAAGAAGGGTAGATTGACTACGGCTCTTTTCGATACCGGTCGCTATGTTGAAGTTTGAAAGGTGGAGTTTTTTTCCCGGTAAAAATTGATAGTTTCAATCACGAAAATTGATTCGTTCTATGGGCTCTGATTTTAGCATGGTATATAAGAATTGATTTTTACCAAATGTTACCACTATTGATATTTTGTTTATCTTATAGCTAACTTATAAAGTATATGAATGTGTAGCCGATTTATCTTTTTAATAAGCAAGGTATTTATATAATACTTGAAATGGCGTCAGATCAACATATATTTTTTTATAATTTGCTATCCGATATATCTGTTTTATATAGTTTTTTGATTTTTAGGTGCTCTTCATGAGACCTGGCCTCTTAACAACTTTGGCAACGACACCGTCTTAAAATTAATGTTGTTGAGGCCCATTTATTTGTTAGTTTCTTTATTGGTGTTAATAAATTTTGTATTAAATTTCTTTACTATGAATGTTGATTGTTGAAGATAATTTAATATCTATTTCACTTCTTCAGAACATATGACAGATTTTATTTTTATCTGTTATCGTACTTAGGTGTTCCTATTTTGCGCAGAACACAAGCTGCTTCCACATTTCTCTATCCCTTGCTATTGTCATCCAGTGTTTTCGATCTTGGTTGTTCCTGGTTCGAAGTCTTGCTTGTGCTGGTGGTGGTTGCACTCTAGCCATCCTTTCTCTGAGCCTCTTTGCCACTCTTGTGCTCCACCTCGTTGCTGGTCTTCCGATGGGCCTCTTCTGGTCTCGTGGTGGCCACTCTGTGATCCGTATCGTCGATCTGTCGTCTGTTCTTCTGGCTACGTGGCAGGCCCATCTGAGTCTTTTTCTCTCGATCACTTCCACTGGACCTCTGAATCCCGAGAGCTAAGTCTTCTGGTCTTAGGTATCCCTCCATGTTGATGCTTCTTCCGAGGTAGGTGTTG